AAGAAAATATACATCTTTTATATTTTTCATGAAAAAATGATGATAGACATCACTGATGCTTCCAAATCATGAGCTGTGAGATGATCAAGAGTTTGATGAGTATTGCCGTCTTTTGGAATACTTACTTACTGTTTTACTTTTCTAGGAGTTTATTGCAATTGGTTTTGTCTTCATATTTGCCAGTTATTAGATTTATGGGTTATACATTAAAGAATTTTTAATATAGGCTGTTACAGGAAACTTAGAGGAGTCTCAGCCCGAACCCTCTTGCGGCGACATTAGTTACGTTATTAAGACAATGAAGAATACGGTCCAAAAATGATGGCAAGAAACCAAGGTGTTTAAAAAAAAATCGTCAAATGATCTTGAAATGGAAAATATGCGAAGGAGCTACAGACAGTCAGAGCTGTGGAGCCTAATTAGAAGGTCTGACGATGAATTCTAAGACCATGGAGATCTAGTAGAGAAAAATACTACTATTATATCGGAATATGATGGAATGTAATACTTAATATCGTATATTATATTAAAACTAGTGGTTTTTACTAATGGTCTCAAAATTGGAACAAAAATTAATCTGATTGCTATTATTTTAACTTCTTTTATTTGGGCGATCTTCAAAAAATGTATGCAAAGTTTCGGCAGAGTATTTTGCAGATATCTAAGTTGCTGTGCCATCGAAACAATTTGGTAATTTAATAGAATCAAGCAGAAAATTACTGAAAAAAAAATCAGTCCACACGCTTATACTAAATTGACGCTGAAAATGTCTTTCTATAAAGACATGAGAACTTTCATCTTTCATTTTTTTGTCAATTAATGCCCTCTAGAAGTTACAGGAAGCAATTTAGGATAGAACTAATTAATTCTGCTTCTTTACTCACAGGAAACTGTTTTAGCTCCATCTATAAGGAATAATGGGATACCCCGAATTACATATTCACTTGTTGACTTAGCCCGTACATAATATAGTATCATCAAAATATTTTCCGTGGAGTAATCTATTTATTACCTCCAGCTGGTGCTTCCTGTGGCGGTTGTCCCTCTGCAGTTGGTTGTCCTTCAATAGGTGGTTGACCTTCTGCAGGAGGTTGACCTTCAGCGGGTGGTTGACCCTCAACGGGTGGTTGACCTTCAACAGGTGGTTGTCCTTCAATGGGAGGCTGTCCTTCGGCCGGTGGCTGACCTTCAGCAGGTGGTTGACCCTCAGTAGGTGGTTGGCCTTCAGCTGGTAGTTGAGCTTCTATGGCGGGTTGATCTTCTGCGGGTGGTTGGTTTTCGGCAGGTGCTGCTGGAGGTGCTAAGGCACGATTGTTTAAATAGTATTTATGTTAAATATGAAACAACTGCTTATGAAAAGGGTAGATATAACTGTATAGACGTGGCAAACTTTTAGTTCTGTCTTACCTTCTTGTTCTTCAGTCTCCTAAAACAAAAAATTCATCTTTATATTAAGGAAATTATTATTTAGGAATTATTATTTGAAAATCGTTTCAATGTCACTGACTGATAGGCAACCATACATTCAACATGCGGTATTGGGTGCAGTAGAACATTTATAAAGCTGTTCTGTTTTATATAGGTAGTTAAGTTAGCTAAATTTTTGTTGCTTTATTTTACATTATAAGGATTTTTACTATTTAGTTATTAAATCAATATAGTTTACAATATACGCTATTGCATTAAAATTGACATTTTATATATTCGGTTTATCTAAATTTAGTGAAACAAAAAATAATTATTGGCTATCTCTCATTTTTATAGAAAATTTGCCAATCTCTCATTTTTTAATCCAATAGTGGCTTATGCTACTTTTATTCATATGTATAATAATTTCGTTTTAAACTATACATATATGTATAGGAATATACATGTAAAAATGCACAGGGAGTATTATTTAAAGAAAGTTGGTAAGTTTGGTTTGTCTGTCTGTAACGGAATATTGAATTGATTTTGTAAGTATTCCCTGAAACCTGGAACAGTAATAAAATTTTCTAAACCTTTGGTCTACACAATATTCTTCTAGGTACAAAAAGTGCATGTGCACAAGTCATCATATTTTATGTGGTAAAAATTTCCGACCGTTAAATTTAGTAACAATACACAATGATTACTGTATTTTCAAGGAATACTATTAAACGTGTTTTCTTTAGACAATATGTTGAATTAAATTTAATTTAATTGTGTCGACTCACGTTGAGGTTTTTCCATTTAATTATACAAAGTAATTCACAACTGATCTAAAAAACTCTGAGATTCGAATTGATATATAAATAAAAAAGTTGTAATAAAATATTTACAGATTTCGAGAAAAAGTTTGAATTTGTTATATTCAAAAGCACTACGTAAACGACTGTGGTGTATTATTAAAAATATATCTCAAGTTTTTTGTGCCTATTGTATTGTAGCAGCCGATGAACTAATTTTAAAGATTTTGGAAGAAAATCCATGTACAGGGAAAATTATTCGACAATTACTTGGATTACACGATGTTCAAATGTTCAAGTATTAATCCAATACCAGTGTTTTAAATGCCCAATTTACATCTTAATATATTAATTACATGAAGCTGAGCTACATGAGTCGATATACAAAATTTTGAACAGTTATAACATATTGTAAAAGATGATCTAGATAGAAATACCAATTAACGTTTCCCGACTATATTTAACAATAGTAGGAATTAATTATAATAATAAAAGCAGTAAATGACTTCTCTAAAATAATATGGCTGTTATAAAATATAATATATTTAAACCAGCAAATTCAGATGAACGGAAATCGTAAGACGCGAATAGCAGACCCTGCATCTTTTTCAATCTGCAAAGACCCTCTAGACAGGGGCGGATCTGTTTTGAAGTGGATGTGATAGGGGGCAAGCAAATTTTTTCTGGATTACCTTCAGTACAACTCACATAATAACAGTGTGGATCCCTAGATCTGGGCGAGGTACGGCACATTTTCAAAATTGCAAAAATGTTTAAAATTTTTTAAAAAATACCAATTTTATCTGAGTTTTTTACTTATATCTTGGAAACTATGCATTTTGGAGGAATATTGAAGAGGAAAAAAGGTTTAGAATTGAATTTACTGTATGTTAAAAATGTTTAAATTTATTACCGATGTTGCAAAATAGCAATAATTGATGAAAAAAAGGTAAAATATTCAAGTATTTTTGATAATTTTTTTAAAATATTTTAATTGCTCGGAGGGCATTCTAATTTTGGTAAAAAAAACTTTAGAGTATAATACAACAACACAGCAACTTTTATTAAAATCGGTTCGACAGTTTTCGCAAAATAATTTTTTGAAAAAAATTTTGAAAAATATTTTTTGAATATTCAAAATATTGTACAGCCTCAAATAAAGCATCTAAATACTTGATAATTTTTTCACATAGAAAAGACCGCCCAACCTTTTAAATGGTTTTTGAAAAATTGTAATCGGTTGATTAGGAGGGACAGTAAATTTTTAAAGTTAACACTCTTTTTTAATTTTTAAACAATTAGATACATTTATCAATTTGCAATTTAGTTTTTTTCAAAAATTATAATTTTAAAGTACTATTTTTTCTTAATTTTATATGTATTTAACAAAAAAATTAATTTCCAAATAAAAAAAATTTTAATTTGTGTAGGTAAAAAAAATTATTTAAATAATTGTAATAATTATACCTAAATATATTCATATTCAGTGTTGAAATATATACGTAAACAAATTTTTTAATTTTTTCGAAAACTATCGAACCGATTTTAATTAAATTTGGTGTATTTTATTATACTCTAAAGTTTTTTTTACCAAATAGAATTTTGCAAAAACTATTGGGCCCACAGCACCCATCTTTCGCACAGTTTTGAAGAACAATAAAACTCACAACTTTTAGGCATATTTATAAAATTCCAACAAATAACAACCAAGTTATGGATAACTAAAAAAAAATGCTGTCTATCCACATTTTTTTGCAATAACGTTTAAACAATTTATCCGATTTTAATCTATCAGGCGGCATTTAGTGTCTTTTTATTGGGCATATTTCGTGTGTTGAACACTTTTCTCTAAAACCAATAATTTTTCCAATATTATAGCGACGGCGACGCGACTAATATCAGGTTAAAAGATAATTAAAAAATATCTTTAATTTGAAGTGGTTTAAAGGAATACTGTGAATTTTGGAATATTCTTCCAAATTGTATAGAACATTTTATTGAAATATCGTTGCCCTTTTTCTTTCCACAGTACTTAAAAAAAATAGTAGAAAGAAAANTGATTATTTTGCCTTTTTCTCATCAATTATTGCTATTTTGCAGCATCGGTAATAAATTTAAACATTTTTAACTTACAGTATATTATGCAAAATTCAATTCTAAAACTTTTTTTCCTCTTCAATATTCTTCCAAAATGCATAGGTTCCAAGATATAAGTAAAAAACTAAAAATTAAAAAAAATTTTTAAACATTTTTGCAATTTTGAAAATGTTCCGGAACTCGAAATTTTGCAGTTTAGAAATCGTATTCGAAAAAACTCAGAATGAGTGAAAACGGTGAAGCGACACGGTGGGTTCTCTAAAAACATAAATATATACGTAATCTATATATTGATAGGAAAAAGGTACCTATGCATAATAATAAAAATATTTTACTAACGTCTACAATGCATTTTAAAAACAAAATGTTTTCTAACGATTCTGGCAATACGGTGCATAATAATTTTCACAAAGAAGCATTTCTGACCGTAAACTCTTGTTTTTGGGCGTAAGTTTTTTGTACATGAAGATATTACAATTGACCAAATTCCAGTGACGCATAGATACATATTTTTCAGTGTCCTTTTTAATTTTGTCATTCTTATTGCACATCCCAAATTTTTTATCTGTTAAAGTTGTGTATAATTCACATTTATTTAAATATCATTTCGAGTGTGTCATAGTTTTCATGCAAAAAAATACAAAAAAAAAAAACAGAAAACAAAACAGAAAAACTAAAATGAAATAATACGAGACATTGGTTTAAGTTATTTTTTTAAAATAATGCTTTACAAATACAGGAGTATTGACATAAACAAGTAATATACATGCAGACAGATGGACAGGGGTGTTTCCCTCAGAGTCTGGTGCACAATACGTAAAATAAATTAAATTCTTAATCATACAGATCCCTAGACAGAGGGGATTGACGGACAACTTAACGTAATCATGCTTCAGCTTCTTGTACCTTCTTTTCGTCACCCTTTTTGGACCAGTCCGGTTTTTTCTGCAAAATTAAAAATAAATTATTAACTGGCACGAAACATGACATACTGTGGACACAGAAAACTGCACTACAGATAGAAATATGTATGGAATGTATACAATGAAGTTAGTAAAAAGTGCACAACACAGAGGAAATAATAGTCATACAAAAGAAAGGTGCGTAAAAGTAAAAAAAAAAATGAGTTAGGGTGGGCATTAAGTTTTACGTGAAAATTAATACTAAAAATCCAAAGGGCAAATTCCTCTATTATTACTTGCTTCAGCATATCAAAAATAGAGCAGTCTGGTAAAAGTTTATTAGAAAATGTATCAAATTTAATCGAACATAATTTTGGTTTAAAACTACTTGGAAAAGTGGATATTTTCGTGAAGCTAGGTATTCTACAACAATCAAAATAAGTGTAGCAATTTTTCGACCATCTCTTTTTACCTTAGGAGCAGTAGCGGCTTTTTGAGCGTTCTGAAAGTTATACAAAGCACTGTAAGCACAAATACATCAATTTTTCACGGCATGTGTGTGTGACAATGTGAGAAATTGTGGTACAACACCAAACAAACTCAGCACGGTGATGTCTGAAAAAGCGAAATTAGCAGCAGCTCACCTTGTGTCTAAGGTATTTTCCGTTGCAATAAGACAGTACAAAAAGCTGGTTAAAAAATAGAGAAGTACAAAAACAAAAATGGGAAGATGAAAACAAAAATTAAAAACGAAAAAAATGATTGCGTGAAAAAAGAACAGACGTGGTTATCTGTGTAAAAATATATAAGTGCAGCACATCCTCAAAAATAAGTAAGTAGATGACGCTGGTTTTTCTAAAGAAAAATGTGTTTTTTAAAAAAATTATACAGTACAGAGAAACCGCTAGAATATATTTATAATTTATTAAAGTTTTATTGGGTAACGTAACATCGTGTTTCTCTTAAAACTGTATAATAATAGGTAAAAATATCGTCGCTTTACTTCTTGGTCTGCCACTCAGCTTTTTCCGATTTCTTGGGCTGCGGAAACAAATGATTGTTCTAAGAATTGACTGTTCGTACATTACAGATGACTATATTTCCAAAATGAACTCTTTTGGAATTGTAGTCATCGCAGTTTCTTGTTATTCACAAAATTCTGACCGAAATTCCACAGTTTTAACAATGATTTTATTTCTATTATTAGTTTCCATATTTTTAACTTTATTCTAAAGGCAAATAAGCTAATTCAAACAAACAAATGAAGTCAAACAATGTACCAGAAATCTAGGTAAATGACTGTAATTCAATGCTCGTCGTTGGAGAATAGAATAGTGTTTCCGGCAATATTAACAGTTAGGCTTGTCTTTGAGGTTAGAAGTATTTTGTATACCTAGATTTCTGGTATCGAAGAACATTGCTTGCTTCATTTGATAATATTTTTTAGAAAAAAAATTTGATTCATTTGAAAACAGGGTGACTAATGCTTTTAAACATTAACCTCCAAAGTATCCTCCTCCTCTACACATTTGTGGAATAGAGGTCGACGTAAAATGAAAAATATATTACACTGAAAAGATGCGTGAAAAACAATATTTTTATAATTAAGTTGCAAAACTTTACGATTTAATAGATATTTTCTAAAATTCGTAAAGTTGTTTTCATTAGCCCAGCATCATATTATTAGACATATGCACTAAATAAATGTTGAACTAACGAAAAATGTCCGGAAGCGAATGGACCAAACTTCAAGGGTGATGTAGTTTCTTAAAGAAGTTACAGTTCATCAAAAAATTTTTATTTCGTTTTTTTTTTTAAGATGACGCCATCAGTTTTTAAGAAGATGACAATGAAATTTAGAATATGAAGGTTTTTGGGGTAGTTGAAGATGAACAAAAACTTATTTCTTACCTAAAACATAAAGGCCGCCAAGAGTATCTGAAATAGTTTTTCGCGTTTTGTTTGGTAGAGATCTTGAGAAAATCACATTTTACTTGTTATAAAAAAGGTACAACATGGATTTCAATCAAGTTTTTTGTTAAATTTGTAGCGATATTCATTTTATTTTCCGATTGCATTAAATTTGTATTGTCTAAATGCGATTCCACGAAATAATATTTAGGGGCCCATATCTCAGTAGGTGTTGACGCTTGAATAGGGATACCTATGTTGATAATAGTTATTTATTGTCTAAGTGTTTTAAGTAGTATTTTATCCACGCAAGAATATTCTTAAGTGGATAAAAGGCAATTAAAACACGAATGCAATAGGTACAACGTTTTATCCATAATCACTTCACAATCATATTTGTGGAGTCAGAATTATTGGAATTTAATAAAAAAAATATTCGCACGACTTGATATTTCTTACTAGTACTCAATGAAACGTAGTAGGTTTTGTTATACCTACTGGCTGTTATGGTATGTTGTTCATTATCAATTATTTAATAAACAGTTCTATATAAATTTGGTAAACATGCAAGAAAGAAATTGTGTTCCTGTGGCTGTTTTTGAAGAAGATTATGAAGTAATTTTTCATTTATTGCCAGCGAAATCCAGAAAATATTACAAAAAAGTGTTCACCGAATTTAACAAATGGAGGAAAAAAACGGAGATTAATAACAATAAATGAAGAAGTCATGCTATCGCATTTTTTAAATTTGATGAAAAAATATGTAATTTCATCTATGTGGTCGAAATATTCGATGCTGAAGGCTACTACAAAGGTTTACAAAAATATAGATATTGGGAAATATATCAAGCTTACTGCTTATTTGAAGAGTGAATCGAGAGGATACAAAGCAAAAAAAAGCTGCAGTATTGGAAAGAGCACATATTGAAGACTTTTTGTCTGGGGCTTCCGATAAAGAATATTTAATGATTAAGGTAATATCTCTTTACATTTTACATGTTGTTAGGTATATAGTTAACTTTGAATTATTTCAGGTTGCACTAATAATGGGGGCTTCTGGTGCCTGTTGATGCTGCGAATTGACAAAAAATTAGTGACGTACAGGACGTTGGCAGTTACCTACTTGTTTCAATACCTGACTCTAAGACGGGCATTTCAAGAACATTTACAATTATAGAAGAAGGATTTGGCGTGAATGCTGTTGAAATTTGCAGAAAATATATTTCTCTGCGCCCAATTCGCCTAACACAAGAGAGATTCTTTTTAAGATACATCAATAAAAAAATATACTTTTCAGCCTGTTAGAATCAACACATTAGTGAAGGTACCCTCAATAGTTGCTTCATTCCTGAATATCGCAAATTCAGAAGCATATACTGGCTATTATATGAGACGCACTTCAATAACTTTATTGGCAGATGAAGGTGCTGTTCTTGCAAACATCAAACGGCATGGTGGATGGAAGAACTCCTCTGTAGCAGAAAGTTATATTGAGGAGTATATATCTAACAAACTTGATGTTGGAAAGAAAATTCAAGGAAAATATAGCTGTTCCTTACAAGAAGAGACATCCGTAAATTATGCAAAATTTTCCCAAATTTCGGCAGATGTTATGCGTTCCGAAAATAATGGCAACAATGTTACAACGGTTGTTATCAACGGAAAGGAAGTTAAATGTGATAAAACAAAAAACGAAATGTCTATTACTATAAATGTAAATGTTAATAAGTAAATAAATTAAATTTGATTTATTATAGGTTTATTATTTTTTCATTATTCTACTATTGAAATAAAGTTACTTTATTCCACTGTGGATAAAGTATCACTTTAGACAGTTCATATGTGTGGATAAATGTCCGATTATAAGGTGATTGTGGATAAAAAGTATTTAATTTAGCAACTTTTTTTTTATTTTAATCCAAGAAAGATACCCGTGAAATATGGTTCATCGCTTACGGACACCCTGTAAGTTCTAAGAAAAAATTTTAAGACCGCAATGTTTCGTTCCTAACACAGACTGAAAGAAAACCGACAGATACTTACTTCCTTATCCTCCTCTTCTAAGGTGAATTCCTTCTTCTTCACAACTTTGAGTTGGTTACGGAAGTTGAATTCTGCTGCCTTCTTTTGCAGTTTGGCGAATTTGTTCTCGTATTTGGATACTTTCTTCAAGGTAGGTTTGACACTAGAGAAAAATCGTATTAAAATCTGCCACTGTCAGGACGAAGAGTACTTACAATTTGCCTCTAAGGTCGTTCACCTGGCTGTTGAGCTCGGCGATCTGTCAGAAACACAAGAATTCGTAAGAAATTGAACATAGTGCTAAGTACTAAAACGCTGACTATTTTTTGTTTGAATAGAAAAGAAAGTAGAATAGTTTTGAAACACAAAAAATAAGCAGCGGTAGAGTTTTGTTAGTAAAATGTGCCATATGTACAAAGAAAATGGGGTTAAACTTGTAGACACACGAAATCTCAAGTCACGCACACAAAATGTTAAGTAAGCGAGAAGAGGAAAATGGTTAGACAGAAAAAATAGTACTAGCTTGCGAGTATTAGACAAAGGCGTAGAGAAAGAGAAAAGGACAGATGTAAGAACAGGAAACAGTGAACGAATTAACTACTACATAGGGGATAATTATAATTGGTCAATATATCTACAAAAATATTTATATACACAATATACAGGTGGAGAAACATCAAAAATTCCATTTATTTCTCAAAAACACAAGTGTGGGTTACGTTTTCTATAGGGACACAAAAATTCTTGAACCTCTAGACGGGCTGTCGAGCGGGTTACCTAAATTGCTGGTCTTAGGCAGTTTTCCTTTCTCTAAAGCTCTATTAATCTACAGTTGTGTAAGCTCAAAATATTGCTGCAACTATACATCTCTAAATACATATATACATTATGGGTGTTGTACCACCAATGACACATTTTTTTACGGTTAACATCACGAAACAACAACGATTAACACATCGGTGGTGTACGCCCAAATACATAGAAGAATGCAGTGTACCACAGACAATATTTTGACAGGCCGTTCTGTACAATTATTTACAAGTGAACCAATCCTGAAATGGTAAATAGGATTATTGAGGATCGGGCATGGCACTTCTGAACTGTCAGGTTCCGTTATCCTTGCTACTTGAAGTAATGAGTTTTTGGTGATTTGGAACGATTACTTAATGAGGAAAAACAAAAAAAAAACATTTATCGGTCAAACGCTAGAAGAGAAAAAAGCATGAAGGGCCATGCCGTATTCCTAGGGGGAGAACTGCCAGGGCTAGCGTTAGGCTTTGTTATTGTTCGGTATATTTACATCGAGAAAGGTTTTAGCAGTATTAGTAGCACAAAATATGCGATGTCTTAAAACAGATTTTTCTGTTGTATACAAAAATGTATTCCAAATAAAAGTAGTCTAGAATTTTTTAATTCCTCATTGAATTCAAGGCCTACTTTGATAAACAAATATTAGATTTAAGGCTTATTGTTTTATTTGTAACAAAAAAATGGCGTTTATAGTAGCTCGAAAATATCAGATGATTAACGTACTCTATCTTAAATTTGATTCAAGCAGATGTAAAATTTAAGTTTCTTTCGATTTTATTGAGATATGTTCTGACCTATTTCTTATAAATAGTTTGACATATAATACAAAGTAGTGAAAATAATATTGACAGAATGTTGACAAAAAAGGTTTTGAAAAACATCACATATGAAATGAAACTTGAGAAAAGCAAAATTCACAAAATTTAAATACGGTCATCAACTACTACCACTGAGTATTTAGCAAATTCTGTAAGTTCATTTGAGTTGCAACTGTATTTCTAAGAAAAAATATTTATCATGTTATATTTGTAAAACGAGTAATTTTCGAGTTATTTTTCAGTGTAAAATGAGCTTATTTTAGTACGGTTGAATAAATAGAAATTAACTCCAAAATTGTTCCTTTTGCAAAAAATATTTATAGACTTTCTTGTTGCAAATACAATGGAATTATTGAAAAAATACATATTGGACTAGAAATTTAAAATTTTCTGAGATGCGAATTTGTGCGCTACTGAATTTCCGACTTTAATGATTATATTGTGTTTAAAACTGTATTTGCAATAAAAAACTTCTATCACATTTTTTGTGAAATGCACAGTTTAAAAAAAAACAGTTATTAGTTATTCAACCAACTTTCTATAAGCATATTTTAGAACAAAAAAAAAAAAATAACTCAAAAAATGATCCGCATTTCGAATAAAACGGAAAATAACTTTTTTCTTTAAGAAACTATTGCTATTCAGATGAATATCTGTATAAAATTTCAAAAATATTGATATTTTGATATTGAAATTCTGATATTCTTAGTAGAAATGTAGCAACTTTCGACTAACGTATAATTAGACCAGATATCAGATATTTTCCTCAAAATTTGTAGCATTTGTACTCCTTTATTGAAAACACCCTGTGAAAGGAGATGGACAAGACACCATCTCAGATTTGTTCTTTGCCTCTCGCTACAATGAAATGATATGCAAAATGTAGAGCTTTTTAATGGTTTTCTAACAAATTCGAAATAACTATATATAAATTATTATAAGTTTTTTATTATTGCCACAAAAATATGATTGCTTTTGGTTTTCATTTCAGGCATCTATTATTTAATGCCAAAATAACAACAAAGAGTATGAAAAATCAATAATATCTCGTAACCTATAAGAAACGTACGTCAATATATCTTGATATAATCGAAAGAGAGTTAAATTTTATATCTGCATATTCTTCTTCTTAAAAAAAATCAATAAATCCTTTGCATTTTGTTGTCATGTTTATTTTCGGAAATATTCGACATTTTGGAGAAAACGGTATTTTTTTTTAAAGAACATTAAGTAAAAGTTATAAATAAACGAAAAATTCAAAAATACAATAATATTCAGAATGTTTCATTTGAAAAAATTAAGGTAGGGAACGCTCAGAAGAAATAGCACACCCTGTATATAATCAGAATTAATTTAAATTATGAAAAATTAATATGACGTGACTTTTATTTGGAACAATTTTTTGTGTTGTTGGGACACCCTGTATAAAGCCAATTTGACACTTTGACAAGTTAAGAGGGGTGGGGGTGGGGTATGAAGCGGCAAAGCAGGGACTATTTCAGGAATAGTTTGAATGCGACTATAAGCGAATCGGCTTCAGTCTCCTGAAGCAGACCCGTCGTACTACATAAAACTGAGAACTATTTACAGTGAAATGGCTGCTTCTGGTTTAGTCGGGAGTTATGAATGAAGAGTTACAGCGGGATGGGATCAACTACGGCCTAACACTTCATGTACGTATTAAGTAATTTTTTAGTAGTCACAACGAAGGTATATGTTGGGGTTTTACACCTCAGAACTCAACGGCGATTTATAAAGTCCTGCCGCGTGCACGGGTAACACGACTATTAAAATTGCTTGAGCTTCACAGCCCGCTCTTGCATCGTTAGCCGCACACGCGTTGCTTTTATAAATCGCGACCGTATGTGAGTACTTTTTAAATGTATATAGTGTATGATATGAAGCACAAAACTGTACACTCGGTATGTGTGTGGTACCTCCCAGTCCCGTTTTCGCACTTCGCGTTCCAAATCCCACTTCTGCTCCTCACATATATACATGCGGTCAAAATAGTCTTTGCAAATCTTCTTAAGCTGGCCTAGAAATCGGAAACGGAACCAGCAGTCAGCAATAATTTACTTTAAAGGTCACTGGTGCCCGGTTACCCTTTCGCAATCAATCTTAGGTACTTGCTCACAATTCAATTGATATTTTAATTTTGGCACATTGCTATTTGTAAAAAACTCTGAAATATTGTAGAGAGTACAAGATTGCTAGAAGTCGATTTGAATATTCAAATTAAATTAACAGTAAAAGATAAACTGAAATACTTCTTGTGGGGGCCAGATCAACAAACTGCGTTTCCGGTAAAAATATTACTTTAAGGGTCAGTATTTTGTGTATAAATTAAAACAAGTCTGTGAATAATTATATGCGCGTATTTTATGTTTTCTCCTTATCTAATCGCCTGATTGCTTAATGAGGTCTTGACTTGTACTGAAAATACTGACCCTGGCGACGTTATCGAATATTAACTGTGTGCAAGTACATTATTTGAGAATATCTCTATATAGGATTGGTTGATATGGATTCTAAGTCCTCCAAGTCAAAGGGAGAATTAAAAAATTGTCCTAAATAAGTAGCTTTGGCGAAATATGTACATTGCAGGTAAAAACAAAGTCAGCCGAAAAATAACGGATCGTACCAACAGCGCCGTTATCTTTTGGCTGCTTTCTCGTATTGTAAAATGCCATTCCATAACAGCGCCCTAAAAGAAAAAAAATTGCAAGGCCTGTGTATCGTGTATAGTTTGTACCTCTTGGGCTTTAATACGTTCGATTACTTCTAAATCATATTTATCCCCTTCTAGTTTCTCAATTCTTGATTGATAGGCTCTACAAATTGTCTGAAGTTCGGCTAGAAGAAACAGGTTTAGTTATCAAAACGAAATGAGTACCGCAACCACTTCTTGGAGCTGGAAATTTGGATTGTCCGTTGAACTGTATCTTCCGAAGTACTTCCTCGCGCTTCATTTACTTAAATATTCATTAAAATTTAGAAACAATGGACTAGTCTTCGATGAAAGTACTTCGGTAGCTGCTAGAAAATATAATTTTTACAGAAAGAGGATGACAGTTCTTGGGGGTGAAGCAGAAAAAAAGCTGGAAGCAAACTTTCTGAAAAAGTGTGTTCCTGAAATCATACAGTGTATATACAAAACAGAATTTGGGGGTAAGAGAGTTGTATGTGAATGTGGATTTGTACAGTAGCCAATCGGGGAATAGAATTGCTTTGAAAAAAAGTGCAAAAAAAGCTCTACGTGACGGTGTGTTATAAATTTTTCTACGCATGTGCAATACAACATGCCCTCCAAAGTGTCCATTCTACCTGAAAATCTCTGAATTCCACTTCCTTTTCAAGGTCAAATTTCTTATTTTCAAGATCGGCAATGCGCCTGTGATAATTCTCGCATACTTGTTTTGTAGTTGCTAGAAGATAGAGGAAGCGACATGTCATTAACGCTTTTACACATAGGGTTCACATAAATTTGTTCGGATCAGCCAGTTGAGATCTCAATTTTAAAAAATCACGTGTCCCATCTTCTATTCCACTACTCTTTAAATATATTCTTGTATACATAACTGTGTCATATTATCTATAAGTTTAGTTTACAAGCATATTTTTGTCATATAAATCCACATCTAGATACTTTCTACAAAAAATTGCTTTTGACGAAGCATTAAAATGTCGGTATACATATACAGAGTATTTTTTATGTTGAAGTTTTTCAATTTAACCTGACATAGAACTCAAGGGTAACGGAAAAGCTAACTGAAATAAATCTAATGCATCGCGTAAAATTTTTATCGTAATAAGCAATTAATTCATGTATTAAATAACTGAAAATTCAACAAAAAATATAATAGTTAAGTTTTCCCAGTAACTATACTTTCTTTTTGGTAGTGGTGATTTGGAATTAAACAATATTCACAGCTTATGTAAACCAGCGAATTCAGATGAGCGTAAATCGTAAGGCGCGCCTAACAGACCAGAAATGGCACATATTTGCAATAGTAATGAATTTATTGACATGCCGTTGGGATGGGAGGAAGGGTCGCCAAAATGCCATCATAACATCCGGATTATATGTCGAGTAATTCTCTTACTTTTGAGTTCCTTTGTGTCGCAGCTCGTAGGTTTGTTTATGTCATTGGAAGTGTTCGAGAAACAGGAAAATCGCGGTGGATATGCTGGAACCAATGCAGTTCGAAAAAGATGGTTTGATACAGTTGAAGGAGGTGTAACAACTAGTATCGAATATATTGCACAGGAAAATTTAATTTCATCAATGGATTGGACAATATTATGGTATTCAATGTCGCCAGATTGTAGTCCATGTGCTTTTTACCTGAGGGGTTACATGAAAAATTTGGTGTACAACACTGAAAGTGGAGGAATTAGGTTAACGCCGTGCAAATAATTCGGTCTTTCGCTTCTGACAGCATGCACGAAGTCATGGATACTCCTAACGATAGCTTGTGTGAATGAAAACATTGGTGAGTATTTCAAAAATGTTCGTACTTTTTTGAGTTTTATGTCCTGTTGAAAGGAAAACCGCAACTTAAAAAAGATCTATATCTCCGTCGTGAGTAGCATACAAATCTAAAAATTGGCGTAATTTTCACTTGTTTACTGATTTCAGAGCCCACAAATAGTTTTGAGGTGAAAGTATAGGGCACGATTATTTTCACCGGTACAATTCGTAAGCCATTTGGCACCGTAGCACCGCTTCAACTGCGACGTTGTAACCCTTTCAAAAATGCTTGGCTTATTGACAAATACTGCTGACAAATCTTAATACAATGTCTCGGCATCGGTTAGGAAGAAGTTAGAAACTGAAAATTATGGTTACCAAGAAGAGAGACAGGAAGAATTTCAAATCTGCTACACTGTATAATATTATTACATGAACTGACTGCATTCGTTTCGTAAAAATTCAATAGTAAGCTGAAGCGGAGTCTTTTGGATGGAGTAGGCAGAAATTCAATGAATAATTTGAATTAAAATAGTAGTTCTGATTATTATTTATAGTTCTGGTGCTGTGTGGAACAAGGACTAATGCCAGTTTTCTTCCAAAGATGAATAAAACCTTCAGCACCTTGAATTTTCACCCACTGCCACCCATTCGTACGAAATGCAGTGTGTTAGCACATGCATATACAGTATAGCATGAAATGGACGTGCAAAAGTATCCGTATTGAGCTAACCTCAATGTCTTTCCTTTTAACAATGACTTCCAAATCATATTTTTGATCCTCCAATCGCAATATTCTTTCGTAATAATGCTTGGCAGTGCTCTTAGCTTGTTCTAGGGAAAAATTTATTTTTTTAAATGTTCAGTGTGAGTGTATTTTATGGCAGTTTGTTTTGTAAAAGAAAAAGTCAAATGGTGATGGGGGGTGATTACTCTCCTGGTGATTCGGTGGGGTGTAGAACGAAGAAAATATGTTTCAAAATTGTTTCATAGAAGCTGTTATAGTGATTTGGGAGTGATTGGTTGTGTTTCATGGAGACTTATAACAACTTTTATAAAACTGCAAACAGATCGTGCTCATTACCTTCATTAGCGTCGTCGACGATTTTGGGTTTACCGCAGCGTTCCTCGATGATGCGCCTCCTTTCGGCCGCTTTGCGTTCTTGTTCCTTCTTGAGTTCTTCAGCGGCTTTCTTTCTCAGCAACAACTGCAAGCCACAAAACCAAAAGCATTACATGGTTCAGTGAAGATTGGATCAAATGGTTAGGTCCTAACCTAAACTACAAAGTCTCACATCTGATTCTCTTGTTTCGTGACGTCACTACTAGTGATAATTTTAATCGTTTTTTTTCATTGCTCAGTCTATCACCACTGACGTGAGGTCACGCATGAAGTGTTGAGGCTTTGTCATCTCTCCGAAAGCGGTAATACTCACCCTAAGTTTCTTCTTTCTCTCAGGGGTCATGAAACCTTTCTTGGCTTTTTTGGCCTTGGAGGCCTCTTCCATGCGGGCTCTGACCTCGGCCCTCTTGCGTTCAATGTCCGCCTGTTTCCTCCTCTTTTCCTACACGCCCAATCAGAAAATTGTTAACAGTGTTCTAAACTGCACGCAGCGAACAGAAGGACCAAATAGACAGAGCAAAAAACAATTGTATGACAAGTATTTGATCGTTCTGTTTACTACGGCTAAGACTTATCCCTATACATGCCTCCTCCAACTTCTTTTTCTGAAAAAGGAAAGAACAGAACTATTAGAACTTGAACGACTGTAAGTAGCCACAGCAAGAAGTTGCTTAATTTTCAAAAATCGGATCTGCTTGCTGTGACCTCATGGCAAGTTTAGTGTGTTGTGTGATGGTGCACATGTGATAAGGAAAGGTGTTATTTACATTTTTGTACAGTGATAAAAGTGACTCGAGTTTATTAAAAGAAAATGGTTGAGTGCTTTAAGAAAGTGTAGGAAATTATTTACAGATAGATTGAGGCTGGAAATATACAGATAATTACAGTGAAGATTAGAGTTTATTGATGCATAGTTTGTTATAGACTAGGACAGAAATACTAAATTCGTTGTTAGCAACGATATTCGTACACATGGTCATTGCAGGTATAAAAGAATATCAGAGAAAATCTGTTAAGACAAATATTGGACGTAATTTTTTATGAAAAACAAATAAATAGATAGAAACTAAGAAAAGAAGAAAATACATAATATAGATGATAAACATTTGACGATTTAAAATATAGTTGCTGACTGTTTGGTTATAGTAACATGCCTAGTCCGTTGTATGTATAGGTATTATTGGTATATGTGCGAATATAGCACTATTTATTTGAGATTTGAGGATTGGTATTGTTTTTTATGTTTTTCAAATTTCAATAAAAGTGCCATTTGAAATCGTGTGTTATGAAGTGCTTTTATTAGTGTTAGTAACATAGATCTACTTACATAACCCCGAAAAAATAAATATGTTAAACTAATTTCTACTAGAATATAATAACAAATACTCCAGCAATCAGCATACTTTGCAAAATAAAAATAATAAAACCTACATCTTTTCTACTACTATAATCTGTAATTATACTTAAAAAGCATTAAACTACTGATAATATTTATATTAAAGAAGCTCTCTACTTTGTCGTTTAAGTAGATTTTATAAAACGAGATAATTAAGTATTCAATTTACTTCTACAAAAGAGATAAACATTAGCTGTATTTTTTCGGAGATTGGAAGTGATATTTACCTTTAAATTGGAAGAAGACAAACTCTATGCCTTGATTCCGTTGTATACTGCAGAAGTGCATAAAAAAGAGAAAATATATTAATAATCCTAATAATAATATACGACAATAGTATGACGCATTTTCAATTAATGTTTTTAAATGAACTTGGAATAATTTAATTCAACCTGTAGTAAATAATACATACATCTGAAATCAACCACGTTTTTACATTTTCCATTAGATTGAAAACTTTTTATTTACGTCATTGACTGAAATCTATTTTTTTTTGTCGTTTCCATAAATACCTACCTAACCTCGTCGTCCGCCATGGTGAAAGTTGTTGGTGTTCTGAAAATGAAAATGCAGAAAAACTTCAGCTCAATGTGAATTAAAAAGTGTATAAACCGTAACACATCGCGAAATATAGAGCAGGCGTAAAAATAAAAGTTATTTCGGGAACATATGCAGCCATCTTACAGCCGCTGAGCTAAATTTAAAGCCTCTGGCTTCGCTCCAAATAGCTTCTAACATGTGACTATCACCGCCAAATTTGGTTTCATCGCTGTAACGTCGGGCAGACAAATATCACATTACTTCGGTTAAATAACTTGTTTTCCACGCGAATTTTGTTGGAAAATATTATATATTATTTACATGTAATACCGCCTACTTATATTATATAAGTTGCTTGAGTAGACGTAATGATATGTACAGATTTTAGTTTCGAATTTGAAAAAAAAAATGATATATTGAAAATATATTTTCGTTTAGATTTAATGAACCTAGTGAAATAATTAGGTAGGTAATAAGATCTACAGGGTGTTATTTAAATGGCATAACTCTTGTAACTTTCATACAAGTTATCTGACTGATCACAACTTATTCAATAACAGGAAAATTTCTTTTTCGAACACCGTATATTCTTATAAAAATAGAACTCTTTCATATTCAGTGCCACGATCCAACTAATATTTGGATCTCCGGAAATAGTAGTCTCCTTCCCGTCAAAGTTTATATCGTTGTATTTGTAAACGTTTTATTAAATATGTAAAAATATACGGGGCGCAATAATGCAATTATCATCATCAACTCGACCATATCGATGTCAAATTTGTCATCAGATAACCCGAATACAAATTAAGTCGTTAAAGACCACCCTGTATATAACAAGATGAGATGACACATTTTTTGTGTTATTTAATAAACCCTAAAGTCTAAAATTTTTGTTCCAAAAATATATATACAGCTTGAACAAATTCATCTTGTCCGTGTATGCGTAGATCAAGAAGAGAGTCCGCGAGTAGCGACAAAGACAGAAGACCTTAATAGTCCGTAGGTACCTTGTGGGCAAAAATATTACTTAGTTCTGGTAAATATAGTTATTTAATGAAAGTTGTACATTATAAATATCTTGAGCGTGTATATATATTGAAGTTGAAAGTTTTGAAGAGAAGAAATGGAACCTGTTTATTAATTAGTATTATGTATTTATAAGATACAAATCAAAAAATAATAATTAGTGAAACTGCAGTATAACTCTTCTGCTTCAATAAATATTTTTCTGAAATCAATTATTAAAATAATTGGACTTATTTTCTAGTATGCAGTATCTAAGAACCATCTTTTTTCTTTCCGTTCGTCATCATCATCACCATCAAAATACGGTTTAGATATTTTCATGTTAAAAAATATTAGTTATATTAGATTAGATTTTAAGACATTTTTTTAATAGCAGATAATAACATATTCACGCTGTACTACTAAATTTGTGGTATAATTTTTTTGACCTTGCCGTGGATCTTCCTGTCGTAAATCTTTTTATTTAATTCGTGTCAAAATCAAGTATTTTTCCACATAATACACTTGGACAAGGTTACTTATTTTAACTTATGAAAGTATTTAAACAAATATAGGTTATTACTAGACCGTTTTAGAAAGAGTAGGTAGCTATTTGGTGACAATCTTTTCAAGATGTAGCTTACGAAACCTCACACAGACGCTCTATATTCCGAAGAGGAACACGCCGAAGCACTCTCGCAGGAAAAATCCAAAAACCTCGTCACTTCCACTGCACTATTCACTTAACCCCAACGTACCTGGTTCAAGCGATGGAAAAATGAGCAGTCAACAAGGACCCTTTGCCGACTGTTGAATGTTCAACCTCGACGCCTTTAGAGTGGCGTCGGTGCCCCTTCCCCGACACCCCCTGCTCCATTTCTGAAAGACCGTTTTGGTCGTGGAGGTGGTCGCGTCTCGAGCCCAGAAATAGACTTTTCAGAGACTTGATACTCGATTCAAGCTTCCACACAGTGCGGGTGATGATGATTGGGTTGGGTTTTGGTAAACACCGGCTAAGCCAAATAGAAAAATCGATTATTCAGATCCGTAAAAATGTGTTATCCAATTACTGATGATGGAAATTTCCGAAACGTGTGCACTGAACTGGTTGAGACGAAATTATACAAGAAGTTTTTTAATTCGACTGTCAAATTTACACATAATGATCATTAATAGTAATTTTAAATGGACTAGGGATCAATTATGCTGATTTCTTATGCACGGAGAAAATTGCTATTGTGTATCCATTAACAGCCCTATGTATTACTATTACTATTATTATTGAAGTGTAATGTATGCAGTTAAACTTATATCTTTGAAGTTTAACGCTTTGATTTCTCTGGTTCCCTTCTCAACCTCAATTCATTTTGATTGCTAATATTTATATTACTTTTACTTTACTCCTTCCTTCGTCTTGCCAACTAGGTAGTTCTATTCTTCTGATATATTCATGTTATCTTTTAAGAACCCACTCTAAAAACTAGCAAAGTATTTGAGCAGAAAGTAGTTTTACAACTATTTTTTTATTCTTTTATTTAATTCTTTATTAATTAAATTGTTGTGGCTGGTATTAAAGCTTTTCTAATTCTTTTCAATCTTTGTTAGACTGTGTAGTGCTGAATATATGAAATTCGTATGTTTATTATAACTTACTCGTTCAGACAAGCGAACTAATTTATATAATTTAAACAAAATGTCTTTTTACATCAATGAAGACGTTTGAAGACATTAATATTTGAATATTAATTTTTAGTAAGTAATTTTATTTGTAATTTTTTGGCAAGATTTCCTTACATGTATGTTTTGACAAAAAATCAGGAAACAGATTCCTTTCGAACTTGGCAAAGTTAATATTTTAAAACACAATTATTGTTGTCGACTATAATTTAAGGTTTCAAATGCGTTTGAAGTGTCGGTAAAAAGAAAATAGTCGCTTTTTAAATCAATCATTCCTAATTTCGTTGTAAGTGTTAATTATGCTTTTTCTAGACTACATAGGAAAATATTCACGAGATTTGGCAAAACAGTCATCAGAATATCATCAATCATAATTGAATTAAAAGTATAACCAAAAAGGCTTTGTTTGAAAATTTCTAATTGTGATGTTCTGTCCGATGTATTACTTACACTGTAAAAAATCGTTATGAGTGAAAGCAATAATGGATTGAATCCATAGAGTGAAATTATTGAGTACATTTTCACTCTATTTTTGGCATTTTGATCATTTTATTCATTTGTGATTATATTTAAACTAAAACTGAATACTTTTACTCAAATATAAGTACTCCTAAATAAATTCTTCACATAAACTCGTATTTGGTGCACTTGTATCTAAATTAGAGTAAATGTTCTCATTAGTGAGTGGTTAAATGTATATTAATTTCGAGTAATTTAATGGCGCCGTGAAGATGGCACCACTTACATATTGCCTCTGTAATCTCGACCACAGTTGATAGGGGCCCGTTAGATGCTATGGAAAAGCGTGGTCGCCAGGAGAACAGGCCTTAGCCGGCGGCGGCGGGTCTCATTTCTCAGCTGGCGGGTCTCAGCCAAGACAGGAGGAAGCCCCGCGAAGTGAATTAGTTTCAACACTGTATATCCTAATTAATCATTTATGGGTGATTTATTTTTGCACTAAATATTTAGTTAATTAAAAACCAAGTCTCAGTAAAAGATGACTCAATAATTAAATTAAAACGGTATTAGAGAAAAAGTCAACTCTAAATTGGTTTTATACACACGGAATAGAGTCAAAAGTCACTCAATTTAAGTTAGCAGTAACTCAGATTTGAGTAAAAGTCACTAATTTCTGATGCAATAGTTTCACTGGGTTGTAGTCATACTAATAGAGTGAAAATTTCACTCAATCGGGTGTGGACAGAAATTAATACATTATTGAGTAAAATTGAGTGAAATTTAGAAATTTTTTTAGAGTGCAGGATCTTTTTTAATACTGTGACGACAAAGTTATAGCGACTTTTAAAATACTAGATATATGATTGTGCTAAATTTTTATCACGAAGAAAATATATTTAAAGAAATATGTATAGGGTCTGTAAAAATGGATGGGCTAATAAATTGTTTAATATATTTTTGGGAATAAGATTTTAGTAGTGATATCAAATTTATTTATTCCTTCATGTGTTTTTATAACTATTTCTTCTTCCTAAGGCAATTAGAGAAATATCTTTTTTTTCTGTTTAGAACTGTACTGTAAAGTACTGAAATAGCCAACACTATTCTGTCAGGTTTACAATTTAAAATAGACAAAGCAACTTGTGGCTTTCAATACATACATTATCTGCGTAAAATGTGAACAAGAATGTCTGCTGTAGCTATGCCTACACTTCTTTACGCCTACAATAGAATGTCAGCCTCTACTGAAATTTTCAGTTAGAACTCTGATGTAAATGCTATCTAAAAATATGTATTATATATATCAGCAGGCGATATATATATTGATGTCACTGCTAACGAGAATCCGAGATGTGGTTGAAAATATTATCGTTTGCGTCAGGCTTATTTGAATGAACACAAAGTTTACAGTCTTCGACTCCAGAAAATTTAAAAAATATTCATGAACCCGAAAACATTTCCCGGAATAATTTAAGCACCTGTGGTTGCAAGAAAATTTCACACCAAAATTGCAAATAAAATTAAAAATCTAACCCAACATTTTTAAATCAAAATACAATATAAGTAAATATAACACACCTTAATATGGAAAGGAAATTAAATATCGCATCTGTTCGTATGTTTGTAAATTTATTGCATTTATATACATGTAAGATAACGTCTGGCTACAGGCAACCAGTAATTCATCTGACTCCCAAGTGAGGTATTTCCAAGGGACAAGATTTATAGGTTTAAGTTGTGGGTGTTGAATCGAAACATGTCATAAACACAGTTCAGTAGCTGAAACCGTCTTTGTTTTAAAATGATAATAAACTTTTAACATGACGTCAGTGTTGACGTATATGATGAATGAAATCTAGCAAAATGCAACATAGAATCTTTATTACAAATTTTCTCAATAAGGAAGGCAATAATCAATAAATTTAAAGCGTAACTTCCTTTGGTCAGGATGGTGTAGTCATTTTTTTGTTTTAAAGATGGATGTAGAATTTATTAAAAAATTGTAGGTATTGACTAGACTTGACAGTGGCAAGTATTTTAGGATCTAAATTTTAAAATAAATCAAATCAGGTCGCGAACATGAGGCACTTAAGTGATTCTTTCTCTGAAAAAATGTTAATAACAATTTATGCAAACAAGCAAATAAGACAGTATTATGATTATTATTCATCACTACCTGGCGATCTTCGTCTAAATGTATACATATATCGTCATTGTTTTGGATTCCCACAAAATCCAGTTAGGTAGTGTGGTTTTACTAAATAAAATTTCAAATGCAAAACACAGCCACCTCATATTTGTTGATGATGAATAGGTTATTCACAAACAACAGAAAGGTGGTGTTTTTTGAAATTCCCTGAGTTTAATTTGAATCAAAATGCACTCCTTGTTTTTTAATTTTATTGTGAATACTTCAATAAATGCATGTGGTTTAAATAAGTTAGTTTACCAATTTGTGTATATAAAATTTCATACAAATGAAAACAGTTCTAAGACTTCTATACTACTCTATGTATTTAAAAAAATACAGGGTGTATAAATGTTTGTTAAAGTTTTGTTTTTGGGTTAGGCTCTGTAGAGGCGGAGTCGCTATCCGAACCCCTAGTCCCCCTGATGTTAATTTCGGTTTTTGTTGTTCTTTCTCTCTGAGACGTTCCATAATGATGTCCATAACTGATCACATCCAATGCTTCCAAAGGTTTCAATGGTCTTCACTGTCGGCATCTTCTATCGTAACGCAAAAGCCGAGAAACCTTCAATATATTCTTTAGTATTAGAAATAAGTAGGTAACTCTAACTTTGATTTTAAGGCACAAAACACTTATTTCAGTGTAATTCCGCTTTTTAACAATGGGAGCAAATCTGTAGGAAGTACCTCGAAATCGTCAAATCGGAAAGATATCTACAATAAATGTGGAATATCTGAGTGGTGGCATTGATGCTAACAACCAGTGAGCACTAGACTTTCTTTGTCTCGACCTTCATCATTTATTAATAAAACAATTCAAAATTTAGGCGCGGTTACAATCTACCACGAAAAAGTGTTTAATAACTTAGGGTGTTTTTTAGGGAATTTACAATAAAGAAACTACGGTTCATTGAATTACAAATTAATAACCACAGCAAATTTGATTTAGCTGATAGCAGCGAAAAAAGGTTTTGTACTTTGCGTTGAATGTAGCTTGTATGATATGGTTAATTTATATCATCTTACATCCAACAATTTTGAAACATTTATGTTTTAAATAAAAAGAAAAGAAAATAGTTATTTGTGTTCGTTATTCTTTAACATCACTGACTTCAACGAGCAAGAATTTGTAGTATACACAATATATTTAGTAAGGAATTTCTAGCATGGTTAGCACGATGAAATATTTGTTAGTGCTAATTAATTATTTAATTAGTTTAGCTCACATGCATACCTAGGAAGATTTTATGTAAAAATACAATAATATTTGTGAATACGTCGTTTTATCTTTTATTCATTTAGTAAGGCACAAAAATGTTTAAAATAGTACCTATAGCGTCATTAAAATAACGTGAAGAGCTATTGAACATCGTTAAAATATACCTATAGGTAATTACAAATATCAAAGTCGTGAACTATAACTGTGTAAGAAAAAAAGTTTCAGGATATTTGATTCTATTTACATATAGCAATGAAACGGAGACTTTTTTGGAATCAAGAAAACTTTTTTCATTCAATTGTTTTTCTAATCATTCAAGGCGAGTATATGAATTTGAATAATATGCACAAATTACTAGATTTTTATAGAATAAAAAACAATAAATTAGTTTCAAGAATATAAACAGAAGATATTTGTAAACATTTTGCCTTACAGGGTGTTAATTAAGTATGTACAATAAGTTCAACAGACCATTATTTGAGTGACATAAAGAAAGAAATTGCTATTTCGTAAATATCTTAACAGTGTAGCATAAAATAAAATAATTTTTAAAATCCGTTTTTTCTTGTCGATTTGGAATATAAACAGTTTATTAAAAGTAATAAAGGTAAATAAACACAAGATATACAGGGTGTCCATTTAATATTTTCAAGTTGATATTGGTTTGACCTTAAAACTAAAGTCAAAATTAAATCAAAGATAACGAGTATATTGATTTTTTAACATCTTACAATATTTATCTGACCCTTTTTTTGATATAACTCAATCTTAAAAAGTTATCAGGGAGTTCGGGTCTTTTAGGGACATCCTGTATATATATCTAACAAGTTAACTAAATCAAAGATGAATTTGGTATTTCGCCATCACCCACTTTCATTGGTACGTCGTTCTGCTCAGGAGATGTGCTCAATTAATTACTTCTGGAAAAAAACTTAATTGAAATTAGACTAACAATAATATTTGTCACTCTATTAATTAAATGCAGCTATGGCGCCTCATATTTTGGTTTCATGATAAAAATCATGTATCTCATAAAAGAAGTGACGTTCGCATAGTATTTGGTTTGCATCATTTGTGATTCCAAATGCAGTCCTCAAAATTGGCATCTAATGACCCAATATAATGTAGTTTTGAGAGAGAAACTTTCTTGGCTACTTATTTAAAAAAATTGTATTAAAACTACACAACCGCATTCTGTTAAATTGTTTAACAGTTGTTTAAAAAATAAAGTCAGAATAAAAATAATTAATATACATTTTTCCAAAAATTTTTTTAATATTGATATACAGGCTGTCTCCTAAAAAACGCCGCAAGCCATAACTCCATTATTTATAGTCTGATTTTAAAAAACAAAAAATTAAATGAAATGGTTCCAAATACACTATAAGGGAGCCTATTTAACTTATTTACTATTTTTTTTTTGAAAAACGAGTTTTTTTTCAAATGGCAATATAGTTTTTTTGTTATTTATTATTGTGCAGATTCATTTTCTGAATCCAACGATGTATATGAACTTGACTTTTGTAAAGCATTTATTACAGAAAAGGCGCCAAAATATTAGTCGATACCGCATTTGGCGCCCGGCCACTGATTCATGAAAAATGTATTTTAACTAATCATCTGTGCCATGGAAAACAGAAAATAATACAGTAAAGCAAATAAAACTCAAAAGAGAATTTTGTAGTTAACAGAAAAGAAACAATACAATTAATATCAATTAAAAGAAAAACAATTTAATTAAATACATTAACCATTACACACAGTTCAACACGAAATAACATTAATTAAATACAAAACACATTAAACGAAGATCAACAAACACAAAACAACTAAAGAAACAAATTGTAGCCGTCGTTCTCTATCGATTTCGTCTATTGCCTGTACTTTTTATGGAATGTGCTATGGCTTCTCGCTTTGGTTTCTTAAAGGCACCATACTTTCTCAAATTTTCTTCAAGTCTTACAAATCTACGTGGTTCTGGAACTTCTCTGTGAGGAAATAGTTTTCTGTAAAGGCGGACTCCTGCACCACGATTTTTATTACACCGAAATTATACCTGAATCATTTCCGTCATTGATTATAACTCATATTTTGCACTGTTGAGCTAATTTCATTAAATAACCTACTGTAAATGACACAGGAAGAGTATAATGCGTAAGAAACTGGGATACGAACGCTAAAATGACATTTACTTGCTTTGTTGTATTATTTTTTCTTTTCCAGGCATACGTGATTAGACAAAATATGTTTATTGGCAATTAAGCGACCGGGCGCTAATAATACGGTACTGACTAATATTTTCATGCTTTTTCTGTAATACATGTTTCACAAAAGTAAACTTTATATACATCGCTGAATTCAGAATAGAAATCTGCACAATAATAAATAAAAAAACCTATATTCCCATTTGAAAAAAAAAGTTGACTATCGTTTTTCAAAAAAATAATAATAATAAATACGCCTCAATAGGCTCACTCTATAGTGTATTTAGAGCCATTTCATATGATTTTTTGTTTTTTAAAATCAGACTATAAATGACGGAGTTATGGCTTGCGGCGTTTTTTAGGAGACAGCCTGTATATCATAACGAATATTAAAAAAAATAAACAAGAATAAAAATAATTAACATAATGTTTCCAGTATTTTTTTTTAATATTGATACTTTTTTATAAGGGTGCTAATATTTAGTAATCTTGCTTTTGTGCTGTATTTTAATAAAATTCCATAAAACTGCACCAAAAAGATTAAAAATTAGGTATGACAAAATCATTTAACAATAGTTAAAAAAATAAAAGCAGAGTAGAAAGAATTAATATAAATTAAACGAGGAAAGTAACATCTACCCAGCCCCAGCACCGAATCCATCCCGATTTCTGTGCAATCTCACGTACTATCCTCGTAATTAATAAACCATAATAAATGCAAACTTGACTGATTGTTGTGCGGGCATAAAAGTGGTAGGAACCAACTCAATCGGACAAATATCCTTCACACTCCGTAGATACAGTGCGACAGAAAAAGTATACCGGTGTGTTAGATAATATTACGTCTAGTAGTTGAACGAATTAGCGGGATGAGATTTGTGGGGAAGCTAAACCATGCCATCTTGGCTGTGTGTGCAGGTAACTAATACGCTGATAATTTTAAATATATAACAAGTCCTTTTTTCTTATACGATTTTGAAAAAATATATTGAATCGTTTCACTCAATGAGTAATTAACTTAAGTATATACTGTCTATAATTCATGTTTTTGATCCTCCTGTTAATACTATTTTATTACTTCATACAAACTACATATTATTTATATAATAATATGGTTACGGATATACTGTCCGTTAATTAATAAAATTTACCTTCTATTTTGTTCCCGTAAAGATCCCGTTTGTATCTTTTTATGTATATTTTTTATGTTTTCATTCTTTTCAATTATATAAACATTTTGTACCTACCTAACAACGGTGATTGAGAACCGTGACTAATAGTTTCTCAATAAAATCTCAAAAAACTGTTATCTAAATTAAGAATGATTCGTTTTAAAGTTCAGATTAATTTTATGCTTAAAATAAAACGATTAAATTGTCTATTTATAGAATCTATCAAAAGTATATTAAAATTATAATTAATAAAAAGAAACAGTAATAATATAATCAATATTTGGAAAGTATTAATTAGAAATGTTAAAATTATATTAAATAACTTGAGGAAATACTGCGTCGTGAAAATCGACACTGTATAATTAAAGGTACTTCAATATCATCCACTTTATTTATTTAACGTTTATTTTTCAAATTCTGATTAGTCGAATTCCCTTTATACCTTATTTATTTATTACGTATTACAAAATTGTTAAGCTACTGACGTTTTTTTAGTGCTATATTTTAATTACAACATAACGACACAATAAAATATATTAGTTTGCAATTATTTGTGTTTAAAATACTACGTGGAATTGTTAACCAAGCTATTGCATTTTAAGTAGGCACGTTTTTCATTAAGTTACAATTAAACAGCTCGTAAATAAATATGTTTATTTGTTATTATATTTTTACCATAAAACAATAATTTTATAGAAATAACAAAAAATGGGAAACAATGTAATTGTACGAAATTCGCATATTTTTATTTCATATTGCATATCTGTATGAAAATGTTGTATTGGACTGTATCTAAAAAAATTATAAAAAATTTTGTGGAAACTAATCAGTACAGAAACTGTTGCACTTAGTGTTTGGATAAGAAGGAAGGAAAAATGGAGATGACAATACTATCACAATTAGCCAAAAATAACTATATCGCGTAAAACTTGTCAGTTAACTAATAATATCCATTCAAAAGAAAAAAAAAAAAAAACGTGGTGCTATAATATATTTCTTATCAGAGCCCTATCTGTACACATACCAAATATGAAATAAACAGGAATGTATTTTTCTTATTTACTGGGTATTTTGCCATCGATAAAAAAAATTAAAAAAATGTGATGAGCCAAAATTATCGATCAAGGGTTATTTTTATGAAAAAGTTTTACCTACACAAAAATTTCATGCTGAGAAAATCAGACAACTACAAAGGTCAAAAACCACATTCAAATTTATTAAATATGGCCTAAACAATATCAATAATGTCAAAAACTTCCAAATATTTATCTGACGTTACGCCGTATTGTGTGGACGATGCATATCGATACATTCCATTTGACAAAATTTTTGGCAAGTTGATCACATTGTCTGGAGTTAGCGTTACAAACCGTAACTACTCTTTAGATAGTGATGGATTCATAATTCCCTCTGATAATGCATTTGATCCTTCAGAAGAAATAGTTCTTTGCATTTAATTCGTTGATTCTGTTAAGACCAGACGTATCGCCCTGTAATTTTAGTTGTTTAGAAAAAGGCAATAGCTGCGCACTATTTAGTTCATAAAATACTGGATATAAATTTATATTATTATAGCAATATTATTTATTGAATCTTTTTTTGTATGTCAAGGCTTGATCTGCTAATTAAAATAAACAAGCAAAAATGTACTGTGCGTTTCTTATATACAGGATGTTTCAGAAAGACCTCCCGTTAATACAGGGGGTGATAGTATGACAAAAAATAAGAATTTTTTGTCGTATTAACTATATGTCTATTTCCTCTTGTTTTCGTTTTCGAGATACAGAGCGACAAAATACAATTTTTTAAATAGAATATTTACGAAAATTCCCAAACGGTGCGAAACATTTTTATGATATTTGGTATTTCGGGGATATTAAGGATGCCAAATACGCTGGTCTAATTATTTTTTGTATATTTCATAGAGAGCGCTAATTATGCTACATTCCTATTACGTTTTAAGTTCTATTTTTTTTATGGTTAGAAGTTTTACCATTCGGGCTCCAATTTCAAATGTACAATTTTATTTTCTAAAAATAATGTACTCTTGTTAGAACTTCCTAATGTGGACGGTTTTCGAGAAAAAAAGACTTTTAATTAAACTCTTACAATATTACGGTGTATAAAATAAGTGACTTTTCTCAAAGTAGACTTATGTCAAAACTTATTGATGGATGTCACATAAACAACGCGTACATTCTTAGTAATATTTTAAACTCTAATTAACCTTATATCAAAATTTTAGTAATTGTTAATGACAGTCATTAAAATTTTGATATAAAGTTAATTAGAGTTTAAAATATTACTAAGAATACAGGGTCGGAAAATCCCCATGGTTCATCGGCCTTTACGTGAGAGCGATAAAGTAAGTTATAGAAATCCGTGCGATAGAGAAATATGGCTATAATGAAGCCTTCATTATAGACATCTTTCTCTATCGCACGGATTTCTATGACTTTCTTTATCGCTCTCACGTAGGCCGATGAACCATGGGGACTTTCCGACCCTGTATATGCGTTGTTTATGAGACATCCATAAATAAGTTTTGACATAAGCCTACTTAGAGAAAAGTCACTTATTAAAATTAAAAGCCTTTTTTTCTCAAAAACCGTCCACATTAGGAAGTTTTAACGAGAGTACCTACATTATTTTTAGAAAATAAAATTGTGTATTAGAAACTGGAGCCGGAATGGTAAAAAACATACCCTTAAAAAAATTTGAACTTAAAATGTAATAGGAATGTAGCATAACTACCGCCCTCTATGAAATATACAAAAAATAATTAGACCAACGTATTTGGCATCCTTAATATCCCCGGAATACCAAATTTCATAAAAATATTTCGCACCGTTTGGAAATTTTCGTAAAAATTCTATTTAAAAATTTTTATTTTGTCGCTCTGTATCTCGAAAACAAGAGGAGATAGACATATAGTTCATAAGAAAAAAAATTCTTATTTTTTTGTCGTACTATCACCCTCTGTATTTACGGGAGGTCTTTCTGAAACACCCTGTATATTTAATAATAGAAGAATACGCACAGAAATGTATATAATAAATTCTTCGTTGAAGTTGATTCTTGCACCCTAGAAATATATTATAGGATTTGTTTATCGAACTGCTTTGTATCTACAGAACTTGAACATGATGTCAATGTCGTTAATGGCATGCCAGCTAACGTTCAGGCATTTTTTTTTAGTTACAAACTCTCCCAAATAACCTTCCGTCACGGTAGAGCTACGGTAACCGCCGTGTCTTTTTTATACATGTCATACTTGCTCCAGCATTTGCAGTGACAATAGCTGAATGGGAATTGGGATTTACAACTAGCAAACCCAAAAATAAACCGGCAATCTAAGTATGGAATTCTGCCAAATGTTGCTATGAATTAGGAAGAATTTTTAAGTACAAAAAATGGATTTTATTATTAACTGTCACACTTTTTTAGCTCTATTTCAAAATAGAGAGCTAATAATAAAATATATATTTTACTGTTTTTAGGTAGAAAAATTATAATATTTTGCTTTTGACACTATCCTTTTTAAAATCTCATTTTTTTCTAAAAGTTTGATGTTTATATTATAATTTTTGTTTCTGTTAGTATTTAATAATTATATATGAGAAGGGAAGCCACCCGATGAAACAAAAAGATGCCTGTAAAAGCTGTTTTTTTACGTGATTAGTCTTTGTTAAAGGTGATAATAGAACAGCAAGAATACAATATATTTCTTTGAATGATTGCATTATTTATCAATTTCGGTATATCAGTTATGTGTTTTTGTATTAGTTATATTATTTTACTACTACTTATTACTAGCTGTTCACTAGGTCTTGTTGTGGTATATGGCCCCATAGGGTAACAGTTGCCCGTAACATCAGCAGTTGAGATTCTAATCTGTGGGGTTAGATATCTTTTGCGTATCTAGATTGTACGACATTGATAAGATTTTTCTTTTCAAATTTTGAATTTATTTAGAGCTTTAATGCAATCTTTAAAATAATAACTTACGTCTCTGTGTTTAAAATTTTTATTATCTTTCTTGATACATAAATAACTATTGTGGAAACATAAACAAAATAAGATACTTTGTTTCTTTTTATTACTCCAAACAGTAGGTATCTATTATTTGTTGGCATGAAAACATCTATTCGAACTCAAAAAAATATGGAAACACTGTTTGGAGTACCAATTATCGTTGGAATTTGATTATAGTTATACAACTACCAAATCCTACCGGAATGTGAACAAGACGACGTAATATTTAGAGCCATGTTGTTAATTTTATATAATAGAATATTTGCAATAATAGAAAAGCATAACTTTATAATTATTTATAAAATTGTATTTAATGTACCAGCTAAATATTTCTATCCTGCGACTCCCAAAATTTTGGTGCTTACTTATTTTTTCTGGTCTTACTACCTAGTTGAATAGAAACAAAGTAACTTTAAAACTGTTCGTTCCATAAAAAACATTTGAATAATTGTATTGTATTTAAAATTTTATTTGTAATAAAAAGTTCCTATACATTTTTTTGTAAAACGGACAGTTTTAGAAATGTTTTAGATTTATTCAGCTGTGTGATAATGATAAGTTTATTTTAAACTTAAAAAAGTTATAATTTTGAACGAATACATTGAAGTTGAATATTTCGCGACAAAACGTCTGAATCTGGTTCGGGCTGAGGCACTACAGTATTGGGGGTCATGAAGGCTTGTAAAAAATGTAATAAAATTTCTAGGATCGTATTTAAAAAATGAATGTCTTGGAGAGACGAAACGTTACATATAAAAATTAATTATGCCATTCGACGGAAGGCAAAAAGTTGCCATGAGAAAGTGTTCTGCTTCTGAAGGCTGAAATGAAACAAAAACGGATTTCCAAAATTTCGTTTCTTTTTCAAATATTTCGAAAACTAATACCGTTAGCCTTGGTTTTTTAGAGGCATAATGTTTGTCCCCTGATTATGCAACTTTGCCCTCTTTTAAGCTACTTCGTATCTCTTACCGTTTCCGAGATCACTGTAGTGAAAAGCGAATTTGTAACAGCCTGTATATTTTGATATTTATAAAAATTTAGTCGCCTTGCAAGTCTATTCATTCTGAACATAATTTAGTAATTAATTTGACGTGTGCCCTCTGCTTAAGTATATTAACTTGTTGTGCAATGCCATATGATCAATAAATTGGCCATAATTCAATAATCTATAAAAACAATAACTACTATTTGATTGAGTAGTTTTCCGTTATGGAAAAACTGCAAACGTAGCAATTAATAACAGATCTTGGGGACCGGCTCGGGCTTTACATAAAATAATTTTTAATTTTCTTTTAAATGGGAAATTTACGTAAAATTTGACTATTTAAATTTTTAGGTTTTTGAACTGTGTGGGGACTTCACATCGTGGTTTATTTAAAATTTGTTCTGTTGTTGTTTTGAATTAATGAATATGATTAATTATAGAATTATAGAATACATGAAATAAAAATGTATTCTGTGTTGACTAACATTTTTTTTCAATTTTAAATTAAGTTTTAATGTTGCTTAGAATCTATCACAAGAAAGCTAAGAATGTCGCATTCTCGGATAATATTCTATGAAATTAGTATGTATGAAATAAAAAAAATGTAATTATAAACACATTACCTATATTTATAATAAGCAAATCAGCATTGTTGCAATAAAACTAGGTCACCTTTGCTGTAAGAACAGAAAAAATATGCAGCAACAATTTTTAGTCTCGGTGTAATGCTTAAGAATGAAATAATCAAAAGTTATAAAAATTGGTTAGTATAAGCTGCTACCTAGTGGAAACTATATTGCAATTTTACTATATTAAAATTTAAGAATATCTGTGATATATGTCATACTGAATCAATGTTTTTGTTTCAGGCGACTTGTTAATGCTATTATCTGGCTCTTCGTTTACTTGGTCCTCTCCCGTCCTTCCCAAACTCCTAAACAACACCACCAGCCCATTCGGAAGAAGCATATCTCCAGACGAAGCGACATGGATATCATCACTGGTACCACTCGGTGCCGCAGTTGGACCTTTTGCCCTAGCTTACATGGCTGACAAATTCGGGAGGAAGATCACCTTACTCTTCTTGGGAGTGCCTTTCTTGCTGTCACATCTAATATTGGCCTTTGGCAACATCGTGGAACTGTATTATGTTGCCAGGTTTACAATTGGGCTCTCTGCTGGAGGGACTTTTACTATAATGCCAAACTATGCTGGAGAAATAGCTGATAAGTCTATAAGAGGTGCTCTTGGTTCCACAATAAGTACAGCTACTTGTGCTGGTTTACTTTTGTCTTATGCCCTGGGGCCTTACGTCAGCATTATGGCTTTCAATTTGGTGCTGGCCATGATTTCGGTGATTTTCCTAGTACTGTTCTTCTTTGTGGGAGTGGAATGTCCGCAGTATTTTATTATTAGGAAGGAGTATGATTTGGCAGAGGATGCTTTACGGAAAATTAGAGGTAAATTCAGTAGTAGTTATTTCATTAAATTTCATTCATGTAATAGTTTTGTTTCATCTTTCATATAATGTGAGTTACTTATCAGTTGTGAAACGTTTTTCTTTCTTGTTCTCAGGTGGGTTCAAAACTGGAGATGTTGAAAAAGAGCTGGCGGAAATCCAGATGACGATAGACGAGGAACACCGCGGATCAATCATCAACGTGATCAAATCGACGGGTTTTATCAAAGCTTTCTTCATGGCTACAGGACTACTGGTGTTTCAACAGTTTACTGGTATCAACATGGTCTTCTACTACACCCAGATAATTTTCCAGGAAACTGGTTCCCTTTGGTCGCCAGAAATCTGCTCCATAGCCATAGGAGTTGTACAGTTCCTTAGCAGCTTAACTACACCTTTGATTATCGATAGATTGGGTAGGAAATTCACCTTGATGGGTTCAGCGATTTGGATGATATTATCCGAGGTGCCTTTAGGAGTGTACATCTACATCAAACAACGTGGAATTGACGTCTCATCTATAAGCTTCCTACCATTGCTGACTTTAATCGTTTTCATAGTGGCTTACAATTCCGGGTTTGGACCCCTGCCTTGGGTGATGCTGGGTGAAGTGTTCCCGTCCAGAATCAAAGTCATTGCTTCCTCTGTAGTGTCTTGTATCAGTTGGAGCTTGGCCTTTGTTCTTACTAAATATTTTGAACTATTTATAAGTTTCGGTCTGGCAGAATCCTTTTGGTTCTTTGCAGGCTGCTGTTTTCTTGGACTGTTGTTCAGCAAGTTTTGTGTGGTGGAGACCAAAGGGAAGAGTCTTCAAGAGATTCAAGAAATTTTCAATAGTTAAGTTTTTTTTTATTTCATCCACATGGTCATTATAAGCGGTGTGTAATCGATCTCCTAAGACTTAACTGACTAATTTATTTTTAGAATAAGGAAAATAAGGACTACTTCTATGTCTGTTTGTTGTCAGATTTGTGCCAATGATGCGTTATATTTCCAAAAAAACTGTTTTAAACATATAAACCAAAGTTTATTACTTTTGGTTCCTAATAGAAAACATTTACTTAAATGTACTATACAAATTATAATTTTTATATTAAAACAAATAGTTTAGTTATAACGATCCTATGGTTCAAGAAGTACCTGAAAATATAATCATTTTGATTATAGTAAAATATATTATAATAATATAAATATTTTTTATTTTTGTATACGTTAAAGTAGTTCCTGTAGAACTACTTGTTGCATTATTCATTTTTAATATTTTAATAAAGACAAGTTTCAAAGCGTCCTGTGTTTTAGTACCAAATCCTCTCATAAAAAAATTGTAATAAAGTTTTAAGTAAGAGATGCTTTTAATATAATCTATAATTATCTATGAAAATCCAATTACATTTACAATGAGAACAGAAAAGAATAATTAATTACCTGCAATTAGAATAAGGGTTTCTACCACAGCAGTTTATCTTTTTAAAAATATTTCTAGACTAGACTAACTAGGAAAAAAATGGTACCTATTATTGGTAAGCCAAATAAATACTTTAAATATATAATAGTTGTATTTACGTTTGATTACTATCACTCTAATTAATTTTCTATAAGCATTAAAATCAATTTTTTTAACTAGTCTACTAATAGCAATCGCATTGTTAGCAGAACTATGAAGTATTTTTGATATTTTTTAGAAATTTAAAAATGGAAGCTGCTTATAACTATCAAAATCCTTCACCTGAGGCTAAGGCAAATTTTATATCTAAATTATTTTTTTGGTAAGTTCAAATTGTTTAGGTTACTTTTTTTAAATTATTTTTCGTAAAAATAGTTAATTATAAAGAACAATTTCTAGGCAGGAAAATAATTATAAGAAACCACTCAAAATAAATTTCTGCACGATGCTGAAAAAAAGTTTTTTTTCTTATATATTATAGCTCTGTACTTAACATAATTCAAACAAATTAAATAAACTAGCATTAAATTACAGCAGCAATCTCTAGTAAATGGCTAGTAATAAATAATTATACAAAATAAAAATAAAAATGATATGTCCAGATCGTATTTTACTTAAATATTTTTCTTTGCTTCTCAGTTGGTTGTGTCCTTTTCTGAGATATGGATACAGAAACGATGTGCAGATGAAAGATATATACGACACATCTCAAGCAAATATGTCAGAGCCTCTGGGAGATTTATTAGAAAGGTAGATTTAAGAGTAAATAACGGTCTTTATATAAAAGTAGTTTAAATACTTCTTGATAAGCATTGACAGTAACGTACTTATTTCAGAAACTGGAATATTGAAACAAAAAATGCCAAAAGAAGGAGAAAATCTCCAAGCCTGTTAAAAGTTATCATAAAGACTTTTGGGACATCCTTTATAAAATTTGGTTTCCTTCTAATTATCTTAGTAGCAATAAAGTATGTGATTTTTTCCAATAATACAGGGTGTTAATGAACTTATGTCAAATATTTTTGTCACATGTCCGTTATGTCAAAATGAGGTTACCTCAACATTGCAAGGAGCCACCATTTGAGAATTGCCAATTTTCATAGAAGATATTCGATGTACCCACCATTTGCTTGCACACAAGCTTCAGCGCGACGTATCCAATTCGCTCCCACGCGTTGCAACATTGCCACGTCCTCTCGAATCATATATACAATACGATGTCGCAGTTGGTTGTTGTCATGAACTTCCGTGGAATATACCACTTTTCACCTATCCCCACAAAAAGAAGTCTAAAGGGGTGAGGTTTGGGGACCACGGGGACCATCTAACTAGGCTGTCACCGCCTATCCAGCGATCGAGAAAAAGTCGCGCGTTCTCCGAAAAAGTGAGCGGGGGCTCCGTCATGCAGTAACCACATATTTCACCTAACATTTAATGGCTTGTCTTCCAATAACTCCTGCAAAAAATCTAGATATGAAGCACTGTCTAAGCGTCTAGGCAATTCAAAAGGTCCTATTAAAATGTTATTAACGATACCGGCCTACATGTTCACTGAAAACTGTTGCTGAAAGGCACCGCGACGTATTTACTATGGATTTTCGATAGTCCAGTGGTGAGTGCTGTGGACGTTACGTAGGTACACCATTTCGACTGAAACATGCTTCATCTGTAACTAGTTTTTCCGCCGTAAATTGAGAATTTGCATGTTCCTGAAGCAACCATTCGCAAAAACCTCGACGTAGTGGAAAATCCTAGCGCTCGAACACGTTGAATATGAAATGGGTACAACTGTGCTTCATGTAATGTCCGCCACACAGCAGGATGCGAAATATTTACTTGCGGTGCGATATTTCTAGTGCTACGGTCTCCTTCGACAAGATCTAAAATCATCTCTACGACATTTAAGATTCTTAGTGGTCGCCCTGGGCCTTCGTCACAACCTCGACGCAGTTGTACTTCACCGGTGTCCAAAACTCTTTGTGTTACAGTGCGGGGGCAACATCGTCCAGAATATCTTGCACAGTACACTAGAAAAGCTCTGTGGGCATTTTCGTTTGCTCCGCCATAAATTATGAGCATATCATAATATTCACGATTGCTAAATAAATGCGCCGTGTTCAAAAGAAAACTTGGAAATACGGTTGTTATATGTACTCTCGAAAAACAGCACATCAATCACTACAACAATGTACAAACTGACTTTTTCAGTTTCTTAACTCAGTTTTTTGCTCCTTTTGCACCCCATTAATTTATTGACATAAGTTCATTAATACCCTGTATTTAAAAATCGTTTCCAAGTTTTTGTAAAAATATAAAAATAATACCTTCTAGGAGTCTCCAGCCTTGTCTTCTGGGAGAATACATCAAATTTTTCAGGAAAGCCGATGCCAAAATAGAATTAGGATGGATTTTGTGTCTTGGTATTTTTCTCACAAACGTTTTGACTACTTTCATATTTACTCATTACTCTACCTACGGTCAAATATACGGTTCTAGAATTAAAGTAGCTTGTTCTTCTCTTCTCTACAGAAAAGTGAGTGCATTGAAAATATTATTTTTCTTATTTCTTCTATTTTTTTACTTTTCAGATCCTGAAACTAAGCCTCACGTCTTTAAGCCAAACAGCTTCTGGCGAAATAGTCAATTTATTGTCTAACGATATGCAAAGAATTGACACAGCTGCCGTATTCTTCCACTACATTTACTGTGCTCCTTTGCAAGTCATTCTGGTAGGCTATGTAATGTATCAAATGGTTGGAATTTCTTGTTTTCCTGGGATGTTGTTCATTGTCATAGAGGCCCTACCAATTCAAGGTATCTAAAAAAGCAAATAAAAGTTCCATGTTTGCTAATAGATTTTAAATTCAGCCTGTATATTGAGCATTTTATCTTAGGGTATTTATCGAAAGTTCAAGGAAAACTAAGATCTAGAGTTGCTCAACTGACTGGAAGAAGACTGACAGTTATGAATGATATCGTTTCTGGAATTCAAGTAATTAAAATGTACGCCTGGGAAAAACCATTCGAAAAAATTGTGACCATGATAAGGAAGTAAGTAGCCTTACTAAGTTGGGAAGCTAATAGTACAATTTATTATATCTCCATAACAATTTCTGAGGATTATGAAGGCATTTATACTTTACTTTTGTCTATTTAATATGTAATTTAATAACTTACACAGTATTTTTAAACCTAGGACTGAGCTTAACACGATCACCAAAGGATCCTACATAAAAGGGCTTTCCGTGGCCATCTTAGTTTTTACAGAAAGACTCTCTCTTTTCTTGGTCATAATGACTTACGTGCTGTTAGGAAACAAACTCACAGGAGATGTGGTCTTTTCCACGGCCTTACTCCTCAATGCCCTGGAAGTGTCACTTTGCTTCTACTTTCCCATCGCATTAGAAAGTCTTACACAAGCTATAGTATCCATAAAGAGGCTACAAAAATTTCTTTCATTGGGCGAAAAAGCATCAGACTTGAGTAATAATAATACCACGATTATAAATAAAGAGTTAGGGCATATAAAAGTAACAGATCTAAGAGCTGGATGGCTCCCAACCGTTTTAACACTGACTGATGTGTGTCTAAATATAAGACCAGGAACCTTATGTTGTGTTGTGGGTAAAGTCGGATCTGGCAAAACCTCTCTTCTTCATTTGCTGCTCAAGGAAATGCCCGTTAGTGTCGGGAAAGTTGACGTAGCTGGGAAAATTTCCTATGCATCTCAGGATCCATGGCTATTTGTCGCCAGTGTAAGAAACAACATCCTCTTTGGACAAAAGTTTCTACAGACCAAGTGAGTAGTAAGCCAATAAAATAACAATAAACTACTGCTACTACCTATATTTTTACTCCTGCTGCTGCTACTAGCGTTACAACTTTGTAGATGTCTAATTTATTTCTTGCATTTAAAATGTTTTTTTTTGTTTAGATACAAAAGAATAGTAAAGGCCTGTGCGCTGTATAAGGATTTTCAACAATTCCCTTACAGAGATCACACCATGGTTGGTGAAAGAGGGGTGTCTTTGAGTGGAGGACAACGTGTTAGGATAAATCTAGCTAGAGCTGTGTACCTAGACGCCGATATCTACCTCCTAGATGATCCCCTGTCCGCTGTTGACACTCACGTGGCTAAGAAATTGTTCGAGGAGTGCATCAAGAACTACCTAAAGGACAAAACTAGAATCCTAGTGACGCACCAGCTACAGTTCTTGAGGCAAGCGGATATCATTTTGGTTCTGGAAGATGTATGATCTTTAAAATATACTTACGAGTCTTCTAACTATAAGATTTCAGGGTAGAATTTGTAAAACTTTGAAAAATGACGAGATATTTGAGACCGCTTTGAATCAATTGAATAAGGTATTACCGGAACAAGGTGGTAATGATGAAGAAAAGGGTACCAAGACTAAATTCCCAAAAAGGACAGATTCTGTTCTCTCACATGCGGTAATCTTACTTTCCATTTTGTATACCAGTAAATTCATAATAGTAAACAGTATAAACAACTATAAATATTTCATTGGTTTACGTGCAACAAAAAGTTTGTTTACAAAATTCTTAAGTTGTTGCTACTGAATTTGGACATACTTAATATGAATCTATTGATCAGTTATTTATTTTCTCAGAGTACAATATACGAAGAAGAAATAGATCAACACGAAGAAATATCTAAAGACGTGTCTTTTTCCACATACTTTAAGTATTTGTCTTCAGGCATGAATATTTGTCCCTTGGTAACTATTTTAGTAATTTTCGTAGTTGGCCAGATCATTTTGAATGCCTCCGATATGTGGATTACTTATTGGTAAGTACATGATATCGAGGAAATGGTTCTAGTAGTGATAATAATTGCTACTAGATGCTACAGGTATTTGTACATCTTTATTTTTCCTTCTTTCAATAGAACATTGAATAGAAATCAATACATATGTAAATAAAGAAAATAACAATACTTATAGGACAAACAAAGAAGAACAGAGTCTTCATTCTACAATTCCCAGTAGCAACTCCACTGAAAACGACATTTACCTCTTAACGAATTTAACAAATCTAACTCGTATGGTGAATATCTCTACCCATTACTACGATACTGAAGTGAAAGATGATTCTTCACACGACAATTACTTCTACCTATGTGTTTACGCTGGACTTATGATCTGTTGCATCATTTTAAGCACCACTAGGCCGATGCTTTTCTGCATAATTTGCCAGAGTGCCTCAAAAGCATTGCACAAGAAAATGCTGAATAATATATTGCACGCTCCTATAAGGTTCTTTGAGACAAACCCGTCAGGTAAATCATATATTTAGTAAAACTTTTAAGAACTTTCGCAATTTTTTATTAGGTAGAATTCTGAACAGATTCTCTAAAGACCTAGGCTCTGTAGATGAAGTACTGCCCGGGGCCTTCCTGTGGGCTTTACAGTCTTGGTTGGTAATATTTGGAAGTCTTATTATGGTATGCGTCATTGTTCCATGGATGTTGATTCCTCTTTTGGTGGCAATAGTTGTCATGTACTTTATTCTGGTAATTTTTTTGCCAACTCTCTTGCAAATAGTCAAGTTGGAAGCCAACAGTAAGTTTAAGTCTGATAGTTTTTACACTAGAACAACTGTTTTTTATTTAGATCGCTCGCCAATTTTTTCTCAAATAACAGCCACCATGAACGGATTGCCGACCATAAGATCAACCGGAGCCGAATCTATGCTAAAGAAATATTTTGATTTCCTTCAAGATGCTCATACCAGTACGTGGCACATGGTGATCTTATACAATAAGGTGTTTGGTTTCTACGTAGACAATTTATGTCAGGTGTTCTTGGTGATAGTGACCTTGAAGTTTCTGGTCCTTCGAAGTGGTAAGAAATATTGCAATGTGTAGGCTAAATATATTCAATTTATTACATATATATGATTGTAGGACCTACCTATGGTGGAGACATCGGACTGGTCATAACCCACTCCTCCATCTTAGGAGGTCTGCTGCAGTATGGAATCGCCATGACCATGGACGTCATCAACACCATGGTGTGCGTGGAAAGAGTTCTGCAATACATAAATATTAAAAAAGAGACTGTTGATGAGGTTGCCAATAGAGATAGATTGATGAAACAGTGGCCACATTCTGGGAAGGTCACTTTCAACGACGTTTTTCTTACGTATGTACCAGAAGAGCCAGCCGTCCTGAAGAATTTGAACCTTTGCATAAGACCTGGGGAAAAGGTAAGGTTTTCATTATATCCAAAATATACCTCCTGCTATCTTTCGGAACAATGTCTTTCAGATCGGTATAGTAGGTAGAACAGGAGCAGGAAAATCAAGTCTCATCACCTGTCTATTTAGATTAGCCCCCATAGAAGGTTCTATCGCTATAGATGACATAGATACTGCTATCGTCGATTTGAACACTCTGCGATCTAAAATATCTATCATACCTCAGGAGCCAGTGCTGTTCTCTGAATCTCTGCGGTATAATATCGACCCTTTGGGTACAGCCAGCGATGAAGCTTTGTGGAAAGTGCTGGAAAATGTAAGGCCAAACTATATACCATAATCTTATAGGATATTCTATAGTTTGTGATATGGAGTTGTTAGACTTTATTAGATTCACAAATCAAATCGTTCTTGGTTCTAGGTAAAGCTAAAGGATTCCGTAGACAGTTTGGACCAAAAAGTAAGCAATGGAGGATCGAATTTCAGCGCTGGACAAAAACAACTAATTTGTCTTGCAAGAGCTATCCTTAGAAACAACAAAATATTAGTCATGGATGAAGCTACAGCAAATGTTGACCAAAAGTACAGTATAACAGTTCTATTGTAAATCTTGTATATTAATTTTTACCTTTTATTTCAGTACTGATGCACTGATCCAAAAAACCATCCGAGAAAATTTCAGTAATTGTACTGTCCTGACCATCGCGCACAGACTCAATACCATCATGGACTATGACAGGGTGCTGGTGATGAGCTCGGGCCAGGCCGTCGAGTTCGCCCATCCCCACGAACTGCTGCAGAAATCCAGCGGGTACTTCTTGCAAATGGTGCAGGAAACTGGTAAGGCGGTAGAGGAGTCACTGAGGAAGATAGCCAAGAAGGACTTCGAAAATAAATTTTTTGATTGATTTTTAAACTGCTCACGATGATTCATTAAAAAGTTTGACGAGTATGTTGTGCCTTTAAATTACCACAGCCTTTTAGTGTGATACAAGTTATTAAACAGCGATATGACATAAACGTATATACGTGCCTCAAAAAGTTTATCACGTAAAATTTCAAGGTACTCACATCACATTAATTATATTTCTTTGTATTGCGTGTGTAATGAGATTAGATAAAATTGTGATGCAAAATTGTAACAATGGCAGTAGTTACTCCTGAATCACAAGATAATAATTATACAAAGTCACAACAAGAGAGCCTATTTCCATTTAAGCACCTCATGTATGCAGTATTTTTTGCATTCATTTTTACATTTATAAACGTTATAACTCAGAAAATACTAAATATTATAGTTGACATAAAATTTTACAGATGAAAGGTATGAACAGTTATATTAAAACTGTTTTTTTTTTAATTTTCCATAGTATTGCTACTTCAACTTTTCTTACAAATATTTGACGTACCGGTCAAGGATTTTACAATTTTACAGTCAACCCATTAAAATTGCTTTTAACAATTTTTTAAATCGACCTAGATACGATGAGTTTTTATTGCCATACTCATTATTTCTAGTTCACATGATATTGAGTGTTTCCTGAATAGTTTATTTTTCATGTAATAAGCGAACTAGGAACTTGGTAGTATTCCTAAGAGTATTATTGGTTGCGTATAACTTTGAAATGGAAGCTACCAAGAACCCATCTCCGGAAATAAAAGCAAATATTATATCAAAAATATTTTTCTGGTAAGCAAACTAAAAAATATAAGAATATAAAATAGAAACAATATTTTTATTCTCTTTTCTTTGTACACATAACAGATACGCCCAGTGATCTGTATATGTAAAGTATTTGAAGTGTAATTATTGAAAAAGAAATATTGGTGGAAACTATTTTGCTTTTTCTTCAGGTGGCTGTTTCCATTCCTGAAACATGGCTATAAACATGGCGTACAAATGAAAGATATATATGACACGTCAGAAAAACACAAGGCTGAAAATGTTGGAGACATATTAGAAAAGTGAGTAAGGTTGATTTTTTCTGCAACTAATGTTTCAATTGTCTGTAATTATTCACTTGTGGCATTTTCAGTTACTCTTTTCGTATTTCTACCACACTAAAAAGGCCAAAATAATAACCCTTGAGCAAAAAAAATCACTCAAGGTGTTGATTTTGAAATATTTATGGGTGGATATACTAACCATAAAGTCAACACCTTGGCTAATCCTTTTTGACCAAAGGTATTTATTTAAGTTTTGTTCAGTGAAACAAAAAGATTAATATTTCTATTTCAGAAATTGGAAAACTGAAGTAACGACCGCAAACAAAGAAAAGAAAGTGCCAAGCTTGCTAAGAGTTATAATAAAAACGTATGGATTTAGCTATATGAAACTCGGTTTGTGGTTGTTTATAGTAGTGGTCGTGATAAGGTATTTGTTGTTTGATTATTATTATTATTTATTCAGAAATCTAATCCAAATGAGAAAATAAACTGATACAACTCAACAGTTAATGAAAATGTGACAATATATATTTCAGGTGTTCCCAACCCTATGTCCTAAGCCTATATATAAGATCTTTTCGAGAGGGCGATTCCAAAATAGAGACAGGGTGGATTACATCAGTTGGATATATTGTTTTAAGCATCTTAGGAGCTTTGATTTTCGCCCAATACGCAGCCTACTCGCTAATACTTGGGCAGAATATCAAAGTTGCTTGTTCCTCCCTTGTGTATAGAAAGGTATGTGTTGACCTAATTTAATTGTGACGTGGACCAAATCATGATTTATTTTTTTTATAACGATACGAAAGGATTTAATTATAGTTTGGATATTGTCTGAGAACAATTTGCAATCCAGTGGTTGGCTAAATAACTGTTATAAGTTTACAAGATGAATTCGTTTTAAGTTCTGGGTGTTAGTAAGACCTAAATTGTTCTGAACTTTTTTATTGCTGCACAGAAAGAGAGAGAAAGAGAGAGAGATATATATCTTTCAAAGCGTTCAACTAGTTAATCTCTAAGATTTATGATAATTTGAAATAGTTCTTGGTATTTGCTAATATCAGTTTTAGCAGCTGTTCCATGATAAGTTTATTTTTATAGTAGGTATTTTTGTTTGCTAATAAATAATATAATAATAGCGAATCTGTAGTCAATTTGGCACACAAAATACAACCGTATTTCTATGTTTTCAGACTCGCTGAACCATCATTTTTGAGAAAATGAAAACTTAGGGTAAAAGTGTTCCGTAGGGTTTTTTTTTAATTAATACTTTCGCTTGTCGCGAACTCTAGTCTCTACTTACATTTTTGAAGCTATGCTTTACTGTCTTCCGATTTTAGGAATTAGAGAGCCGTAGCATCGCCAATTTTGGGAAATTTTCTCCCAAGTAATCGTAACACCTTTCTTATCTAAAATTTTAACATATTGTTCCATCAGTCTAAGTTTGTTTTATGTGTAATGGAGGAAGCGGAACCTTGGGTGAATCTAACAAAGACACTTGATACAGAGTAGATGGAAGATTTTTCTTTTTCAGCTCTCTTTATAAATATTGATCTAGGTTCTTTTGGTCAACCTACTTTGTGAATATGATCTAATTCCTATAGTCCAGGAAAATTAGACGAAAATAGGGCCGAACCTCGGAATTGCATAAAGAAGGTTCGATTTTGATGGGACAAAGTGCGTTCTCTTCGTAATTGCATGTACATCAAAGTTTATAATGTCTCATGCGGCGCTAATTTGTTTATTTATAAATAATCAATTATTATTAACAAATAATCGTATTTCGGATATTACGTGGGGTGGAAACGGCCAATCTTGATGCGGTAAAGCTCATTCTTCCTCTTATTAGTTGTACTTTAACTGTAAAGGAAATTAGACGTGATATCTGAGGTCGGGAGTAGGACTAGCCGATTTGGACGGGATGAACGTGGTTTTATATAGAAAGTTCAAGATCATAAAGGCTCCGACTGATCTTCATTTGTTTTTTCATTTTCAATTTATGGTCAGAAGTAATTTGCACTGGCCATCTGTGGACGGTCCAGGATTGAAGACGTTGAAACCCTAATGCAGGAAGTGAATTCTCAAAAAGCTGAAGACCATATAGACATGAATCATTATGAATAAATGTTATCCACTTCTCTTTGATTAAAAATTATCCATTCTAAGTCTTAGTTACAGATTGCACGTGTAATTTTTTTTATAATGATTAATTAGTAAAAAGAAACAAATGGAGATCATTCGGACCTTAACGGTTTTGGAATATCCCGGATGATGATCAAAGTGACTTATTCCATAAAAATCAGACTTTTCTCGTCCAGCTCACAGATAACAGCCCGAATTTGTATATACTAATTCACTGAAGATCAATGAACAAATGAAAATCAGTCTGCCCTTAGTGGTTCTGGATCACCTTGTAATCCAAGTACGAGAAGAGCGTCGATTACCGCGTGAAAATCCCCCTCTCCCAGTCCGATTGCCTAATTTGCTCTTAATGATCGAATAAAAATCAATAAACAAATGAAGATCGGTGGGAGTCTCCCAAATTTAAGGTACAATTAATCAGAAGAAGAATGGGCTCTACCGCATCAAAATTGGCCTTTTCCAACCCACGTAATATCCGAAATACGCTAATTTGTTAATAATAATTGATTATTAATAAATAAACAAATTAGCCCCGCATGAGACGTTGTAGACTTTGACCTACATGCAATTACGAAGAGAACGTACTTTGTCTCATCAAAATCGAACCTTTTTTATCCAATTCCGAGGTGAAATGCTAATTTTCCTGGACTACTATGTCCATTTCCCTGTCATCGTTTCTCTCATCATAATATTCCTCTCTTCCTCTTTACGTTCCTCTAGGAAGTTTTCTTCATTAAAGGAAAAGAAAAAATTGGAATTTGATGGCACCTCTTGGATGTTGAAAAATTAATGTAAAGTTAGAGGTTAAAACACTTTTATCCTAAATCGCATACCTCTCTGGTTTATTTGCTCTTTTATGAATTAAGTGGCTATTTTGATTGAAAATTATGAGTACTGTCGTCAAACTGACTTCAGATGCGTGTTCAGCAGGCCAGAAAACGTAACAAAAACAGAGTCTGATCAAACAGACCACTTTTTTGTGTGCTTGTGTGGTTATTATTGCATGAAATTTATTTTCCAGCTCTTGAAACTAAGTATGTCGTCCCTAAATCAGACAGCTTCTGGACAATTAATAAATTTACTGTCCAATGATCTGCGAAGATTTGAGTCTGCCGCGCTGTATTTGCATTTCTTGTACTTCATCTTCCTTCAAACTGCTATGATGTGTTATATAACTTACAACTTCACTGGTATTTCTGGTGTCCCTGGCTTGTTATTTATTATAATAGAGGGTCTTTTAATTCAAGGTAACTAATTAAAACTTTTAAAATAATCTATGATCGTGCAAAAACTGTATAAATTGACTCGTATAAACGGGTCTGTTCAATATTAGTATATTGTGGTAACAAGTGCTGAAAACTGCTAATTTCTCATGAATTTGAAGAACCGTGAAACGTGTGAAAAATTAGCCCTTTCTACGATCACAATTTTCTACATTTACAGAAATTCATACTTAATTTATTTTTTTTTGTTAATCAATAATTACAACAGAATAAACTAAATCTAACATTAGATTGCTGTTGTTGCTAAGTAGTCACGTCGGTTTAGATCAGAGGACATAATTTCCAGTTTCAGAGTTTCTTCTGAAGAAGAGAGCATTATTTTTCTCGAAACGTCGCGGAGTCTATACTGATGACGTGGTAAATAACTCGAAAATTGTTCAACCAATGAAATAATAGCTATGTTTTGAAACGAACGAATACATATTTACTCCTAATATAAGCTCCAACTAATGCAATTGTGCCTTCTTGTAGGTTATTTATCGAAACTTCAGGGAAAATTCAGGTTAAAGATCGCTCAACTGACGGGAACAAGACTGGCCATGATGAACGGGCTTGTATCAGGAATTCAAGTTATAAAAATGTATGCTTGGGAGAAGCCATTTGAATCAGTTGTAACGAGAGCAAGAAAGTAAGTATTTTTTCCTAATTATTTCCGAGGCTTTTAACTTCGAACGTGTTATTTGTAACTTTAAACTTATTCCATTTGAAAATTTAGGATAGAGCTGAGCTCCATCAACAAATCATCCTACATCAAAGTATTCACGACGGCTATGGTGGTCTTTACGGAGAGATTTTCTCTCTTTTTGATCGTAGTTACTCACATCCTGCTAGGAAACAGACTGACTAGTGATGTAGTGTTCTCTGTAGCCACTATTCTTAACGTGTTTCAATCATCATTTTGCTTCTACTTACCGATATCACTTGAAAGTTATGCCGAGGCCAGAGTATCTATAAATAGATTGCAAGAGTTTTTACTGTTGGATGAAAGGACACAATCGATTACAACTAAACCCTTCCCAATAATGAAAGACACGGGGTCCATAAAAGTGGCAAATGCAAGAGCTGGATGGTTACCAGCCGCCTTAACTCTTACTGATGTTAGTTTAAATATCAAAGCAGGAACGTTGTGTTGCATTTTGGGGAAGGTAGGGTCAGGAAAAACGTCTCTCCTATATTTGCTGCTTAAAGAATTACCTGCAACTAAGGGTACAGTAGATATAACGGGAAAAATATCTTATGCTTCTCAAGAGTCGTGGTTGTATGTTGCTAGCGTGAGAAACAATATCCTCTTTGGACAGAAGTTTTTACAGCAGAAGTAAGTGCGACTTTTGTCGGTATCAAACTCATTAGCAAAAGGTACTTTGGAACTTTCGAGATTCAGAATACTTTTTGCAACAGGGTAGTAGATACTTTATAGGTTTATTTTGCGGTTTTGATGACAGGTACCAAGAAGTTGTAAGAGTCTGTGCGCTGAATAAAGATTTCCAGCAGTTCCCTTACAGAGACCAAACCATGGTTGGTGAGAGAGGAGTGTCTTTGAGTGGAGGACAGAGAGCTAGAATAAATCTCGCCAGAGCTGTATACCTTGACGCTGATATTTATCTTTTCGATGATCCCTTGTCTGCTGTTGACACCCACGTAGCCAAACACTTGTTCGAGGAGTGTATCATTAAATACCTACGAAAGAAAACTAGAGTTTTGGTAACCCATCAACTGCAGTTCTTGAAGCAAGCTGATCTTGTAGTAGTCTTGGAAGAGGTAAAATGATGAGGTATTTTTTGGAAATTTCTAAACAGGCGAATTTTCAGGGCAAAATCAGTAAGATTATGAAGAACGATGAGATGTCAGAGAACAGTTTGAACCAGTTGAACCAAATGTTGCCTGAATCAGATGAAAATTCTGAAGAAAATCGTGCCGAATCAAATTTATTGAAAAGAAAATTATCTGTGTTATCACGATCGGTAAATCCACTGCAATTTTTCTACCACTTTTCGCTACATAATTTTGATTTGTAGAGCACAGCAGCAGGATGTGAAGAGGAACTAGAACAAAACGAAGAGATGGAGTCGAAAGATGTATCCTTCTCTACTTATTTAAAATATTTTCGTTCTGGAGGCAATGTTTGTATGATAGTATGTGTAATAAGTATATTTGTAGTTTGTCAGGTTTTTGCGAACGCTTCTGATCTCTGGATTAAGTATTGGTAAGAATAGAAGTTATGAATAAAAATGCACCTTTTAAAATATTTCGTTAGTGCTAAACATTACTTTCCGGATGTGCTTGTAGGACCAATAAAGAAGAAGAAATACTCAGCTCAGCAAGAACCAATCTCAACTCCACGGAAAGTGATATATATTTATTGCCAGACAACGCCATCAAAATAAATGCAACTAATTTGACTTATTTGGTTAACATCTCTACCAGTTACTATGACACGCAAGAAAATATAAGGTCTGCGCATGTAGACTACTTTTATCTCTATGTTTACTCAGGGATCATATTAAGCTGTATCATTATTAGCTGCATCCGGCCAATGATTTTCATGAAAATCTGCATAAATGCTTCGAGATCTCTCCACAGAAGAATGCTGAGCAACATTCTGCAAGCTCCCATGAGATTCTTCGAAATAAATCCCTCAGGTGAACGAATGTTAACTTAGCGGATGTACATACTATTTTTTGTGATTCCAGGCAGAATCTTCAACAGATTTTCCAAAGACTTGGGAGTTGCAGATGAGGTGCTTCCCATCTCCATGCTTTGGACCCTACAACTTTGGTTGGTGGTGCTAGGAACTCTCACAGCAATTTGTACAGTCCTTCCATGGATGATCATTGCGATTCTAATACTGTTAGCTGCAGCGTATTACTTGATACTTTTTCTTTGGCCAACTTTACTGAAAGTCGTCAAGTTGGAAGCTAATAGTAGGTTTAGTAATAAAATGTCTTTAAAACAAAAGTAGTACAGTACATAAAACAAAATTATTTACGTTTTACTAGATCTATCACCAATATTTTCCCACATTTCTGGCACAATGTGCGGATTACCCACTATACGATCTGCCGAAGCAGAAGAAATGGTGAAACAGTACTTTGATCTCCTACAAGATGTGCATACAAGCACTCAGCAATTGGCGATATTCTTTGAAAAGGCGTTGGGATTCTATTTGGAACTCCTTTGGAACATATTTCTGGCTATTGTAACATTGAAATTCATGATATTTAGAGGTAGGTAAGGACAGGTCCATATACGACAAGTTGTTATTTATAAGTCGGGCTCCCATTTGGTGACATTTTGTACATTTCATTCAATATGCGCTCCTTGCAGAGGATGATACACGCGGCGGAGACATCGGACTAGTTGTAACACAATCTTCCATTCTTGCAAGTTTATTCCAGTACACTATCACCAACACGACGGAGGCCATGACCGGCATGGTGAGCATAGAAAGAATCCTGCAGTACTGCGATATTGAAAAAGAACATGCCTCAGAGTCCGCCAATAGGAAAAAGTTGATGAAACGATGGCCTCACTCAGGAAAAATCACTCTCAGCAATGTTTATCTCACGTATGTGCCTGAGGAAGCCCCAGTTCTTAAAAGTTTGAATTTATCTATAAAAGCAGGAGAAAAGGTAAGGTTATTCACTTGCTTTTGACTGGAGATCTAGCAAGACCAATAAATTTTCAAATCGAGCAGTTATAAATTAAATTTCAGATTGGCATAGTCGGCAGAACTGGAGCAGGAAAATCCAGCCTTATCACTTGTCTGTTCAGGCTAGCTCCGATAGAGGGCTCCATCGCCATAGACGACATAGACACTGCTATAGTAGATTTCAAAACGTTACGATCCAGGATTTCGATCATCCCACAGGAACCAGTACTATTTTCTGAATCTATACGGTACAATCTAGATCCATTTGGATTTGCAACCGATGAAACCTTATGGAAAGTATTGGAAAATGTAAGTTTAGATGATGATAGAGAATATACCATTAATAAACGTTTGAAATTGTAAGGTGAAGTTGAAGGAAGTCATAGAAAGCTTAGATTACAAGGTGAATAATGGGGGCTCAAATTTCAGCGTTGGACAGAGACAGCTGGTCTGTTTAGCTAGGGCCATTCTTAAAAACAACAAAATATTGGTGCTGGACGAGGCCACAGCCAATGTTGACCAGAAGTAAGTAGTAGGTACATTGTAAAACATTGGCAATTTACTCATTTTATTAATAGGAGGTTGTTTCAAAGGTAATTCATTTTTTTGACTACTTTGTTATTTAATAAAAAAATAAAAATATGTACTGAAATAAACATGTACATATTTTTAAAACAGAAAAATATTCAATTTTCAAAAATGTCAAATATTCAGTGGTTATGAATGAATTTTTGAAGTCTTTAAAGCAGCATAAAACGTATTTTTTTTCTTGTAAGTCAGAAATAAAAAAGTTACCGGGATTTGAACCTAAGTTGCCTTCAGATATGTTTTCAATTCTCTCTACCTACAGAATCATTTCCGATAAACGACAAAGCAGAAATTAACTTATTTAAGTAATTCTGTAAAAAAAAATATTAATTTGCTTTGAAAGAAGCAAAAGCTGTTCATATTTATAAATAAATTACCCTATCCATTCAATATTTGGTAACTTCATTTCATCTTTATTTTGTTTCTTCCGTCGATTCCTTGCCCCTCTCACTGTTCTTTGTAACGTGAAATATTACATATATTTCATATTTGGTTTCTAGTAACTTTCATTACCGTCTTGCCTGCTAGCCTTCTTGATTCTCTGGTTGCATACCAACTAGGGATCATAACGAAATCACCATGATTTAGTTGTAAGTTGCCTGCGCGTACGTTTATTTTTTTTTCAGTACTGACGAATTGATCCAACGGGTCATTCGCAAAAACTTTAGCAGCTGCACCGTACTAACCATCGCGCACAGACTTAACACCATCATGGATTCCGATAGGGTGTTGGTGATGAACGCTGGCGAAGCCGTTGAATTTGCACACCCCCACGAACTCCTGCAGAGATCCGACAGCTACTTCACGAAGATGGTTGAAGAAACTGGCAAGGCGGTGGAGGAGAGACTCAGGAAGGTAGCCAAGGAGGACTTTGAGAAGAAGTTTTTCGATATATCTTAAATACGATGGCTGTCAAATTGTCTAAATTCGATAAAAACGAATAATAAATAAAAATGTAGTTCAATAATGACAATGACATTATTTTGATTATTATTAGTCGGATTGAGAAAGTTGGTAGTTTTTATTGCAACTATTTTACGTAGTCGAAAATTTGCAATTGAAAAAATGCCATGTAAAATCTCGGCTCACTTAGAAAACAGAAGATGTTCTGGTTTTTTAAGTAAAAATATAACAAATTTACTTTTTTAACACTTTATAGCATTTTTTGACTTGCAAATTTTCAACTTCGTAAAAAGATGCAATGAAAAAACCATTAAAGGTGGTAATTTTCATTTTCAATCCCTTTCGAGGGTTAATTTTTTTCTTCAACCTTTAATATTCAAATAACCAAGACATATTCACGTTGAGTGTACTAACTGTAACATTCTGGTATTTGACGCATGTGCTATATATATGAATATAGTTGATAATTGTTTTCTTTTTATCAATAAGTAATGACTAATGTATTTGTAGTACGAATAACTATTATCTATTTTTCTATAGTAATTAATGTGCGTATTTTTCATATAATGAGTATAATAATTAAAGTTCCACAATTTATGTAAAATAATTACAGAATGTGCAAGTGCTAATTTAGAAAATTCGTGTCAAAAAATGGATTCAGGTCAGAAATTTGAAAATCCTCCCCCCCTGAAACGAATGCAAATGTTTTTTCAAAGTTATTTCTTTGGTAAGTAACTAGATCAACTAATATGGTTATTGAAAATAACTAGCGTTCAAATAAAAACGTGGTCAAGTTGGTTCTGAAAATTTGGACGTAGGGCGTAGCGTATAGCAAATGAACTTAAACGTCATCTGTCAAAGCGCTATATCGCCGCTATCAATTTGAATATTTTCGTTTTAAAAAGCGTTTAAAATGGTGTTTTCTCAAGAACAAAAAATTGTTTATCATAGAGTCCTACTTTAGAAATGGACGCAAGATTGATGGAATATGGAAGTATTATATTGAGGAATGTTTCATAGAATTTCAAAATCAATTTCCCGGCGTTGTTGAGTACAAAAGTTTTCAAAGTGCAGTTCAGCGTTGTGTTAATGTTTTTCGTGAAACGGGCAGTGTAACAAGAAAAGAAGGAAGCGGCCGACCTAAAAAGCGGACTGAAGAATTAAAAGAAAATGTCCAGCAAATAATGGAAAATGCGCCAAGAACTTCTGTACGTGTTTTATCACAAATGGTGTGAGTATCAGTCGGTACCTGCCACACAGTGTTAAAAAAAGATTTGCGTTTGTTCTCCTATCGTTTAACTTATCAGCAAGAACTTCATGAAGTTGATTTTCCGCGACGGGCTGTATTTTGTGAATGGTTTTTAAACAACTACGGTGAACTTCATATATCACCTTTTTTCCTGATGAAGCCTGGTTTCATTTAAGTGGTTACGTAAACTCACAGAATATGAGAATGTGGTCTTCTGAAAAACCAGATAACTTTTTTGTCGAGGGCCCTCTACACGCTCAAAAAATTGGAATTTGGTGTGCTCTCAATCGAAGGAGGATTTATGGACCTATTTTTTTTAATGGTACTCTTACTGCGCAAAGGTATAGAGAAGAAATTATCGCTCCTTTTGTTAACCAGCTGGAAGAAAACGAAATTACAAACTTTTACTTTCAACAAGATGGCGCAAGGGCACATACGGCAGGCGAGACGATGAATATGTTGAGGGAAGTTTTCCAAAATCGACTAATATGTCTCAATGCTGAACATGAATTTCCACCGAGGTCATGTGATATTACGCCGTGTGATTTCTTTTTGTGGCCTTACCTTAAAAACACTATTTTTGAACTGCCTATTCCTGATTTAAACCATCTGCAGGCTCGACTGATAGACAAGATTCGTGAAATTAACAATACCCCGAGCATCTTAGAAAATGTCTTTAAATCATTGAGGAACAGGTGTGAAAAGTGCTTGGAACAAGGAGGGGGACACTTTCAGCAGCTGCTTTAATTTATTGTTATAACAAGGAGGGGGACACTTTCCGCAGCTCCTTTAATTGTTTGTTATTGTTATCACGATTATTCTTTAAAATAAAGTTATATAGTCATTAACGTTATTGAAACTGACAGCTGCTATACAGCTCGTTGAGAAATGAGGTTAAGTTGGTCGCTATAAGCTACTCCCTACGTCCAATGTGTCAGAGCCAACTTCGACCACGTTTTTATTTGAACGCTCGTTATTATCAAATCTTCAGATGCATCTTTGTCCTAGTTGGATGTTTCCCTTTTTAAGATACGGAAATGGAACTGATGTGCATATGAAAGATATATACAACGCCACAGAAAAAAATATAGCAGGAGCCTTTCAAACTGAATTGAGAGAAACTTTTTTTAGATATTCTTATCATCTTCATCTTCATTTCCATCTTCATCTCCATCTCTATCTCCACCTCCAGCTTCACCTTCTTCATCATTATCATTACCATTATTAATACCATTGACATTACCATTATCTTAACAGAATTTGAATTAGGTTTTCCAATATTTCAATGAAACATTATTTTTCTAGGTTTTGAAACTAAGTCACTGTTCCCTAAGCCAGACATCCTCCGGAGAAATAGTCAAATTACTATCCAACGACTTGCAAAGAATTGAACAGGCTTCCGTTTACTTTAACTACATCTTTGCCGTCCCTTTGCAAGTTATTGCAATGACTTACATAACGTATAATATTACTGGTATTTCATGCCTTCCTTCATTGCTATTCATTATTATCCAGGGTCTGATTCTGCAAGGTGATTTTTCATTACAATTAACTTTTTTGTATGAATTTGGAAAAATATTTGGTTTTGTAAAAAACATTTGTATTTCTTGTAAGGTATTTGTCCAATATTCAAGCGAAATTGAGATCAAAGATTACAGTTTTAACAGGACTACGATTGGCAGTGATGAACGACATCGTATCAGGAATTCATGTCATAAAAATGTACGCTTGGGAAAAACCATTCGAAGCACTTGTAGAAATGGCAAGAAAGTAAGTTTACAGTATATTTGTGCTAGCTGAAAAATAATAATTAACAGTAAACATTTTAAATCCACAATGCAGAATGGAACTCGGCGCTATATCAATGTTATCTTATACAAAAACAATCACCATGGCGTTGGTTGTTTTTACGGAAAGATTCAGTCTTTTCCTGACCATTTTAATGCAGGTGTTGCAAGGAAACAGTTTCAAAGGTGATTTGGTGTTTTCCATAGCTCAACTCGTTAATACCATGCAAACATCAGTTTGTTTTTGCTTACCATTGTCATTTGAAAGCTATACTGATATAAAACTGTCAGTATCCAAAGTGCAAAATTTTCTATTATTGAACGAAAAGGCCCCAATCGCCACTACCAGCGATACTATTATCAACAAAAATACTGGAACTATTATCTTAGCAAATGTTACTGCTGGATGGTTACCAAAGACAATGACACTAACTGATGTTGGTCTAAACATTAAACAAGGAACTTTGTGCTGAGATACATGGACAATGGTCCTCTTGTTCTGAAATACTTGAATTTTAATATTAGAGCTGGAGAAAGGGTGAGGTTATGTCTATGAAAGCTACTGGAAAACTGTTAATCTACTTTTCAGATTGGCATTGTTGGCAGAACTGGAGCAGGCAAATCGAGTCTCATTGCTTGCCTATTCAGACTAGCTTCGATAGAAGGGCCAGTCACAATATATGTAGACATTGATAAAATTAACTTGAAGGTATTGCGTTCCAACATTTCCATCATTCCACAAGAGCCAGTATTGTTTTCTGCATCTTTGCGTTATAATATTGATCCTTTGGGGAAGGTCAACGAGAAACCTTATGGAAGGTACTAGAAAATGTAAGCAACAACATTGATAAGTAAAATTCTTCAACGGATTATGGAAGCTGACTTTACCCTGTTTATTATTTTCACGTTTCAGGTAAAGCTAAATGATGTTATAGAAAATTTGGATCAAAAAGTTATACAGCGGAGGTTCAAACTTCAGCGTTGGACAGAGACAGCTGATTTGCCTTACCAGGGCCATTATTAGACACAATAAAATATTGATAATGGACGAGGCAACAGCAAACGTGGACACAGAATATGATTGCTCTAATTTTATTTTTTTTCCTATAATCTTCATTTTGCAGTACTGATGCGTTGATTCAGAGAACCATACGCGAACACTTTAACAGCTGCACTATAATGACTATCGCGCACAGGCTCAACATCATCATGGATTCCGACAGGGTATTGGTGATGAATTTTGGTCGAGCCGTATAGTTTGCACAGCCTCATGAGCTCCTGCAAAAATCCAACAGCTATTTCACGAAATTGGTTCAAGAAACTGGTAAGGCAACCGAAGCAACTCTGAGAGACATCGCCAAGGTAGATTTTCAGAAGAAACTTATACACATCACGAATGATATGTAATTCATATGAAAAAAAATTACATAAATTTTATATTATTTTGTACAGGTTGTTGTTTGGACTACCATCTCATTTGACAATAAAACTTGTCGTTTTAAGCTAATGATGACTAATAAATTTACCTTATTTTTCTGGATATATTTATTCTATATTTCGACACTTTCGATCTACTACTAACTACTATTTTCTAACCATCTTCTGCAACTCACAATACAAACTTTGTGTATGGTGTGTTGTAACTTATTATGTCTCATCTATATTTTTCAAATTAATTATGCATAATAAACTGTTAAGAGTGGCATTCCTCATTTTACAAAACGTTAAAACAAAAATGTTCAAGGAAGTTCTCATTGTCGTAAATACTATTTTATTATTTTTGTTGCCTTGAAACACTTGCATATCGAAGTGCATGGAAACTTTTGCTATTTTGTCTAACAAAAACGCCCTAGAGCTACATTTTATGAACAAAAGACGCTAATTTCAAGGTAGAAATGTCAGTATTATATGTAGATTCATACATAATTTCATTATGAGCTAAAACTACTAGCGATAAAAACTGATTAAAATGAATATACATTTATCATTTCAAA